CATATCTAATAATGAAATCATACAGTAAATGTAACACTTTACTTGATGGGGGAGAAGGGTGATTTTGAGGTTGATAAAATCGAGCTTCTCTTCAAGTGTTATATCCTTTCTTTTACGATCATCACCGGGAATTCTATCACCAGAACGCTTCTTGTTGACATTCTTCTTTACTATATTCACAGTTAATACTGTTTACCACAAAATTGGAGAAATAGTAAGCAAAAATCGCGTTATACAATTATCTTTCCTAATTCATAAATCGCGTTAGAGCAAATTCGCGTTATCAAAACAGGCGTTATAGCAGAACTCACTGTATATATATATACATACATATATATATATACATATACATATATATATTTTTTTTAATAGCAGCAAACTTCTATTTTCTTCTTTAGTAAAGTATTTGCCAAGATTTCATTGAAATGAATACATTAGCCTACTGAAATATCTGGTGTCGGGTTTAATGGCTAGCCTGCAATTGTGAATGGTTGATAAAATAAAATTTATACTGACACCATCACCCCATGGTAAATATATTAATAAGCGCTATAATACCTCTCTTGCATTTTGGTTAACATTTATTTCAATATTTGAAGACCTTTGCTATTTATATTATTCAAATAATGGTCAACAATTTCTTTCATGTTGAATGCATTTGAAATATAAACATGATTTGCCTTTCGGTCAACAAATCAAAAAATATTGAAGATCTATGGTGCACCATTTACCGAGATGTTAAATTTAAACCTGAACAAAGATTTTACATTTAACTCTTACAGTTAACTTTGAGATTCCTGTTTATAACTCTGTTAATGTACCCCCAGTCATCTAAGATACTAACATTTATTTTAGTTAAATTGAATTATCTTCTGTAAACCAGTTAATATTGTACCTCTTTTAATGTAATAAAATCCATTTAGCACCGAAGTGTGGCCTGTTGGTTTCTACACTTCAATTATGAATTACGAAATCCACCTTCTAGAAGACGTTAGTAAAAATCTTGTTTAAATAGTACACCGGACAATGAGGAGTGAAGAAATTTGGTTAGTTGGTTGGATAGTTGAGGTACAAAAATTCAGATAACCCCCTTCACTGTCCATGTACTATTATGGTTAAACTTGGGATATGATCACCTGTCACATTTGATGTCTTGAAGGTGTAGATTTCCCAACTTTTCTAGACAAATAATGTTTCCTGACCTAAACTGTAATTTTAAAACAAAAGAAATTTCTGGTAGTAGTTTTCATTGTATCATTAGAAATGTGAAAAACATTTACTTTGGATATTTTAGGGTCAATTTATTTATGGTTAACAATCGCCATATATGAACTACTTATCCAGTTTGACCTATTTAGTACTGTACAGTACATTGAAATAATTGCAATAATTGTGAAAATTCACAAATGACTTTATTATACACAGTGATATATCTGTTAGTCAGAACATTTGATGCAGAGCACTTCCGGGAAAGATATTTCTGGGTATTGAGAAAACTCGAAACCGGAAAAAATCCCCCATCCCCGGAAATTTCTGGGGAAAATTTTCTTGGAATTTCTGGAAATTGAGCACTAAATCATCTCTGAAAACCGTAAAAAAATCAACTATCCACGGAATGTTTCTTGGCCCAGAAAATTTTTCTCTTAATTTCCGGAAAATGCGCCCAATTTTCAGTTCTCACACCTGAAAACAATATCCCCATCCCCGAAGTTCTCCAGGCAAATTTCAATTACAGCTATCGGAGATATTACTTGTATATACTGTATATAGTTTTAGTGATTGATGTACCGTATGTCCCATCTCCATAAATTTCAACATCCACACCCAGTGAATGCGAATGTCCTTTAATTAATGTATTATAACGGGGAAACACATGAATTATAACTCTACACTTTGATATATCCTTGAAATTTGAAGCAAAGCTGTCTTGTGAATAGAAATGAAAAAGAAACCGTGATCATACTTGCTGCTGCTGTGTTGAGGGTTTTTCCATTTCTTACTATGATTAGAGCTGAAATCTGCTGAAAGGAGATCGGGCAAAAATGCATATTAATACGAAACTTGTGCAGTTTTCACTTGAAGTTAATGTAACTGGCAATGTCAGAGGCTCAATACCTTCCAAAGGGTGGAGGTTGGGGAAAGTGGTTGGTGGGATACAAGACGAGTTCGGTCCTTGTAACAGTTATTAGGTGAAAATTTGCATGCAAGTAATTATTACAATATAATACTAATTAATTTGTGGGACAATGGGTCACTTCAGATGAATACTCTGCCTAATATTTATAATCAAATGTCAATTCACTGAATTATACATGAATTTAAATTATCAGATAAGGTTATAAATTTATGCACGACCATCCACATTCGCGGTTGTCTGAAATCTGACATCTTATACATCACTAATACCCTGTACTGTATATCCATAAAGGAATTCAACTGAAAATGTATTAGTACAAATAGGTCATAGTTAAGATTAGTCATAAAATATGGATAAGCAGGTCTTCACCTTTCTAGGCTCATGGCAACCATCTTAGACTTCTTTTTAATAATGTAATAATGTCAAACTGTTACATTACAAAATTCTACATGAAAAGCTCACGGAAGACAAATGTAGCACATTAAATAAAAAGAAAGTATTAATCCTATTATTTGTTACACAAAATACTTTCAAACTCTTAAACTATAAATTATATACTGTAGTAGGATTGTATACTATTAATGATAAGACTACTGAGAGAATTACTTTGCCTGTTTTTTCCCCTTTGGTTTAGTCATTTGGTTAAGAGATGAGTTGAGCAACACTAGTGCTATCTGTCAGCAGAATAAGTTGAGTTAGCTTAGAAGGTATAGGTAATGAGTTGTCTACCCAAGGTAATAATTATTTAAATCTTGCCTCTGTAGTGTGCAAGAACCTACATGTTTAGGGCTCCTACAAAATAATTGTGTACAACCTGCAAAACTTTAAAAACTAAATATCTGCAGTGAATACAAATAATACTTTTACATATTTCTGACATTGTTTATCCTAATCATCAGTACTGTCATACCATTCATGAAACATTTAGAAGACATTTATTTTGAAGAAAAATAAGAGCTATTTTGAAGAAAAATAAGAGCATCCAGTGTTCTGATTTATAAAGTTGTTAGATATGATCCGAATAACTAATAAAGAATTTATCTAAAAAAAAAGTCACTAATATGATTTTATCACAGTTGTTATATTATTGGTAATAATAAATCACTAAATCCTTTCACTGTGAGGACTCTGTCAAGGTCACTTGCCTTAAGATTCTAACATTGTTTACATATGCCTCATTTAAAACTATATGACCAACACCAAATGCAGGTAGATGTCTGCATTTAATCATGCATTAATTAGGCCATTTAATTTTTTTTTTTTTTTTTTTACATCACAGTCATTTAAAACATTTGAAAATTGCACAAACTTCTCACTTACAATAACAAGTTCAAGTTAAAAAGAATCAGAGTAAACTATATATTCACATGCTGCATTCATTACAGGCAGTCCTCATTTAACACAAAGGTCCAATTTATGTAAACCCTTGTGGTGTGCAAACTAATTTTTCCACTCGAAACAATGTGCTAAAGGAAGGGATGTAGTCTTGATGGGACTTTGGGGAGTACTTAGGCTGATATTTCATACATGTGAACATTCATGAATTGTTCCTTTACCACGTTCTTATTTAATAATGTCAAATATTACATTTAAAATGACATTTTGCACTCGCACACGATTTTGGGCAATTCTAAATACAGTAAATAACTGCATGTTGTACATACATAAACAACTTGCATTACACACATCTTTGTGTTGTAGGTTCTCAGTGATTTGAGCTTGGTTTGAATTTTTACCTTACAATAGCATTGCAAGAAGCAAAATGTGATAAATCAAATATTTTGGTCATAAAAAATTATAAATGGGATAAATCTAAACTGAAATATGCAAACTTCGATAAATAAGGACTACCTGTAATATATTTAATGACATTTAAAAGTGGATGTACAAAGAAAGTAACTAATAATTTCGAAAACTAAAAAAAATAAAAAAACCCCACTAAATTACACCAACAGTCCAAGTTTTAGGTGTATAGTAACCATTGTTATAACAACCTTGAGTTTTGAACTTTTAAGCAGAAATTATCAATGCCCATTACATAAAAATGGTTGGATTTACAGAATAGAATGCTTTGTGCACCAGTATACACCATCTAGTGTACATTTAGTGCCTGAAGTGTAAAGTTATTAAACAGTAATGAAGCTTTCATGAATCAAGCTTTTTCACTATATGAAACAAGGATCTACATCAGGCACAGTTTATACTTTAAACCTAAATTCCTTAAGGCTGTTTGTAACATAACTAACAATCATATTTGTCTACTTATAGAAAATACAAAAAGTTTGGTGTTGCCGATGAATAAACAATATTAAAAATGAAACCCGAGATAATAAATGGTGAGTTTTCAGGAAGCTGTTTTGGCAAATCTATTTAAGATAAAATAAGCCTCTTATAATGTGACAAGCTTGATGATATGAATAAATTTGAAGACAATAAGTGTCAACATTTTTGCAACAAATAAAAAATAAAGGCTTAAAACATTAATTGCAGCATTGACTTCATACTACTTACCAAATCTTTCACCCACGAAGAAAGTACAGAAATAAAACTGGGTAATTCCTCTTGTAGATGCTCACTATATAGTTTTGTTGTGGAAAGGCTAAATCCATTTTCGTTTAAGTTTGGTTCCTGCACATTTTCATTTTTCCGTTAAATTTTTTGGAGGATGTTATGTAAAGGAACCTTACAGTACAAGTTCACTTCTCATCATTTTTGCTTCTATGGTTCCAGGGTTGGCGGTGTATCATGTTCCTGTAAGTGCTGTCGTATTTCTTTTCTGTCACTGCAGTAATATACTGTACTTCCCACATGAGTAGAAAGAAATTAATGTATGGATTACAATAACTGCAATAAAAACATCATATTAAAATACAAATGTTTGATTTAACTACTTGGCATACAGAGATCTTTTATTTCTCTCTCGATGGCAGAAGGTAGTTATTTTTTTTAACTTTTATTACATGTACATTGCATGAAATTCTCTTTACCATCAGAAAAATGTTCAATTAATATTAAGATACTACTCTTTCCAAAATTCTTTTAGTCTTAATGCAAAAAAAAAAAAAAATGGTTTTGTACTTACAAGTCTTATCATTGTATAGGAAATGAACACAACAATGGATATTAATTGAAATAATTCCCTACAGACCTTACTTAAGAAATGCATACATCTTATGCTCATGTTAAATGATTTTGCAGAATATAAGTACATTTTTTCTAATCTGATTATTAAAGGAAAACAAAAAAGTTGAAGTACAATCTTAAAGACTTGATGCTTTCTGCTAGGCTACTGGAGTAATGTAATCACTAAACTTGGCAGGTCTTGGACATAGGAAATTCTGAGAATTAGTGGCTAGGTAACAACTGTGGATTAGATATATGATCGTGGAAGAATCTCATAGTTACTTCTTTTTGTCACCATCATGTCCCATAAAAATAGGGTGGGGAGCCAAGACCACTATCAGTAGAAAACTGCCCAGTTCTCTCTCACTGGTGTTGTATGCACCCGCCTTTCGACTATTACAGGAGGAAGAATTAATCATGAGAGTTCCAAGGGTAAATCTGATCAGTGGAGGTCACCAGGGCCTGAAAGTTGGGGGATCTTTGGGATTACAACCTGCCAGTTTTGGTGAGCACTATACTGTACAATCCTCGGGTTGGTTAGCTACAGGCTCTATCACAATTGGATTTCAGGATATATTGTTCACATATAACTGTCTAGCCCAGTGGTGTCAAACTCAAAACCTTTCGAAGGCCAATTCTTATTTTAGTTACCCTCTTCAGGGCCAACACAAGTGCTATATCACATATTTGCAGGATTGAAGATTACAGCTTCACACATTGCCATACCTGGCTTACCGGGAAAACCTCATTTGTGTTTGTCTGATCTTAAGTGTGAGAAATTCATTTTACTTAATAAACATGATTATATCTATTTCTATCGTAATTTCACGGGATGATAAATTTTACCATCATCCCGCGGGCCACACCTGACCATGGGCCACATTTGGCCTGCGGGCCATGACTTTGACACCCTTGGTCTAGCCTCTCAGAAATACAGTATAGCATACTGTATGAGTTCCCTATTCAGGAAAAATTAAAAATGTCAAATTGAAGATTTTCAGCTTTGAAAGATATAAAGCATTAAACTTTCCTTAGTAAAGTTAATATAAATATGACGGGTAAAGATTTTCAGCTACCTACATACCCTTCTCACAACTCAGACTCCATTCCCAATTACATGGAGAGAAACAGAATTCTGATAGTCTTACCAGTTGTGCTGCTAGAATGATTGTGATGCAAATCTAATGTTGGCTTAATAGAAGTATTTAGAGTAGTTTTGTTGTGCTTGCAAGACACAATGTGCCATGATGGAATTTTTAGCATTTAGTCTAGTTTTCTCTGTATAACAAAGAGGGAAAAAAAGAAGATTGTTAGCTATAAACAAGTGATAAAAATATAAGATTATGTATATGTTCACTCTACACCCACCATACTAACCTACAGGAGAGGATGAGAGGACCCAATTATGATGTGATATTACTGTGTGTCCTTGAGTGTCCAGGCACAGATAGATGTAAACCTATACTGTACTAGAAATGAGCACGACTAATGGCAAGTTCACTAGGTACAAGAATTCGTAAAGAAATTTATTCTTAAAGCTATATTGCAGAAATATATTTACTGACTAAATTAGAAAAGGATGAAGAATGTGGATTTAAATATACAGTACTAGCATTAAAATGCTTATCTTCCATATGAAAGCTCTGTGTTTCATTCCTATCTGTATAGTACTGCTCACTACTGAGACTAAATAATATGTACTGTACAAGTAAATACACAGACAGTAATTCTAAGTGATGGCAATATCCATTCATCACTATAAAGTTAGCAAGAAAAAGTCTGTAATAACAAAATGGCCAAACATTAATGCTGCTTAAACATGATACAGTATACAACTGATTTCATAACCAGCATCTTCACCTCCCACCAACAAAATACCATTACTTGCCACCACCTGGTATTGTAACATCCTCCATTTCAGTTACATGCTGCCATGACTACAGGTTCTTGTGGTCTTGCTTAATTAATTTCCCTGAGATGTTAAATGTTTGGTGGCAGGATAATAACAATAATTTATCATACTTACAAATCTCTTCTCTGACCTCATCGTTGTCATCTTCAATGATGAGGTAAATTTGAAGTTAAAATTATCCTTGACAAGACCACTAATAAACTGCTGGAAGTACAGAGGCATCAAAGTTTTCATTCTTTAGATGTTGTAGAACAATATTCTTAATATCATCATTGGGTAGCCTTAACAAAGTCAACCTTGACTTTTAATTAAGTCAAATAAAGGAGAAATTTAAAATTGACTTCAGAGTAGATGACACAATGGGATTCATGGTTATCACTGGAAGATGCTGTATGATGAGTTGTGAACACTAAAATTATACCAGCTTATCTACATAATTAACATATATATAGTATTTGTCTCCCAAATAAGAAAAATTCAGGTATTACCTTGGATTTTGTTACTTAAAGCTATTTGTGAAGTATAATATCTAAGCATACAGTATTTCATATTAGGCTAAAGCAGTATTTACTACAGTCCCCACAGATAAGCCAGAGGTGTTTAAACTCCATCCATCATATCCCTGGGGGTCTAGTCACTGGTTGGAAGCTGTATACTTGTGTCTAAATATTAAGGTTTATTTACACTGTCATCAATAACTCATTATTTTTCTTAAAAAAAAAAAAAAAAAAAAAAAATCTTATTTGTCTAAAGAGTTTCAATGTTTTTCCTTTGAAGCACTCATAAATATGAGAAAAAAAACCTCTACATCCAGTGAACATATAATGTACAGCATTTACCAAGACACATGGTAATATGGACAGTGTTTAAACTCCCCTGGCTTACCTACATGGATTATAATTAACTACAATATATAGTCAGGAGGCTTGTAATGGTAAGATAATTCACTATAACACTTATGGTTACTGAGACAAAAAAATATACTTCAAATATACCAAATGTAATTAATATCTTGAAATGATCATAAAATAACATATACAGTACTTCAAATGCTTCATGTAACATTTCAAAATGAGATGGAGTTCCATTCAGATAAAAAGTATTAGCACAAGGTGGCTTACTATTTATTTTTCTATGACTGTAAGAATGAAGTGAAATGGATTTTTACAACATCCTGGTACATCTTCTATTAGGACTAATAAAGGAAGAAACATTTCTGGAGTGTAACTTTGTCTCAAGTATACAAATTAATACAAAAGTGTGCATTACTAATGTCACTTAAGGCAGTAGCATGTGACCAAACTCCCATTGAGTGGGCAACATGTAATGAGTAAGGCCCATTGACCTTGATGCTCCTTTAGTGAAATCATTATGCACAAACACCCCTGTTATGGAGGGACTAAATGTAAGGTGAGCTTGATTTCTAGCTGACCCACAATACTGTGCTCAGATAGTGTATGTGGGGTGCCAGTAACTACTAGTAAATTCTCCTTTCCATCTATTGTAGGTAACCACTGCTAAATATTTGGGCAGAATCATTGTTCTTACTGACTAAAAAGGGATAAAATATTTAATGCCATCCTTGCAAAAATAGGAATATTAGATAATATTTATCCTCATACTCAAGTATAATCTTTATACATAAATAAGCACTATTTGTAATAAGACGATGCAGGAAGAGATCCCACAGCTTTTCTAGAGACACTGAGGTGAAGCGAACATCATCATGAAAATTCAGGAATATCCTCGCCAAACTTATCCAGATGAGCTGCTCGCTTGGCTTCGTGTAAGATCTACAAGGAAATAAATAAATAGTCGAGTACAGTAGAGTAAAATGTAAATCTTATGTATGGTACTGTATAATGATACAGGAATCAGACACACCCAAGCTTGTTCACACACACACAAAAAAGAGAGAGAGTGAGTGTGTGTGTGTGTGTGTGTGTGTGTGTGTTCCTCTTGGTTTTGGCCAACATGTGCCATACAAGGAAGAGGTTGCAAAAGAACAAAAAAGAAGAAAGTTTTTGTAAAGAAGATGGTTGCATGGCTCCTGTTGTGTTGCTATTACCCCTGTACTCGATAAGATATTTATGAAGAAAGTTTTTAAATACTGTACTGTACACATGTGACTTATAAATTAACTTTCATATTGCATAACCTTTTTTTTTTACATTATTTTATCAATCCATTTGCCATCACATCTTTCCTATTTTTGTGTGGCATGGGAGTGTAAGCACCTGACCAACACTGTCACATGTTCAGGTAGAGTCTATACATGTCCAATAATTGCCATGTGTATGTAATAAAGAAGGCAAGAGAGTTAATCAGTGGCAAAGAGGATTGTCATGTGCCCATAACCCTATAGCAACAAGCATGTCGTGTGGCATCTGTTTACGCCTCCACTCCACACAAGCTATTAATAACTTGTTATTTTTACTATTATCTTATTGTTGTTCTTAGTTACTTAGGTTAATTGTATATCTATATATGTCATTAATATGCATCATTTGTGTTACTCTGTTAAGTCAAACCAAGAGTAGTATTAATTAGTTATAAGACTATTTGGCAACTGTCGTGAGTCATGTGATCTAAGACTCTCCTCACTCATATGCTGGGTGGGCAGAGACTCTCTCTCTAGTAACAGTTGGTATAAGCTATAGGTAGGACGTGTCCACACCAACCCAGTACAGACGTGCCTTGTTCAGTCATCTACAATACCCTAGTGGTATCTGGTAATTAGTGGCACGTTAACTTAGGCCTAGGAAGGAATCCTGGTGTTAAGGAATCTCCTATTTGGTAGGAATTAACCAGTTGGTTGTGATTGCTGTGTATATATTGTAATGTCTGTGTTTAATATAGTTAATGTTAAGTAGTATTCATTTGATTTAACTCCTTAACGGTATATTTTCACCCTTCCGGCATCACTCTTATTTTAATATACAATCACTTATTCCCTTAAATTCCATGGTTGCTAGACAGTACTCCTTTAAGAACATAAATTGAATTATTTAATTATCTTCCCATTTGTGACTCATTTACTCCAACTTATTCTTATTTATTCAAGTACATTCAGTTGAGTCGGTTTTTGTGGGGATAATTATTGCCGTGTTCCCTGTTTGTTCCTTTATTTGATGATAACTTGGGGTAGGTTTCACTCCCCAGGTATAAAGGATATTGGGATCATGACAAGGATCAAATTAAGTAAATGGGCACTAAAACTTCAAAGAAAGGTGGGAAAACAATCAAGAAGAGCAGTGCAAGGCATGTGTAGAAAAACAAGAAAGGGGTATGGCAACAAGTCAAAATGCCGACACACTTATGTACCCAAATCCTCAGCCTACATATCAACTTCCTGGTTTCTTATTAGACTAATTGACTGAATCAGTCTTTTTTTTAGTATATGTTCACCAAATTATCCTTTCTTTCTTTTTACACTGGTTTGTACTATATAAAAAGCTGAGTTTAATTTCTTCTTCCATATTTGCCAGGCCTTTCCAACTCCAGCACAAGACACCTGAAGTCACGAGTAAGAGATTTCCTCAAATGACTGTCATTATCTCTTTCAAACTGTCTTGTCAGATGCATTGTGAGGTTGCTAACTCTACCTTCTTGTACAGTTTCCAAAATAGAATAAAGACAAATAATATAATTTAAAGAAACCTGATCCACTTCATATTACTGATACATGAAATTAAATAAATTTCTCCATTCTGGTAATATATTTGAACATGTTACTGTAACACCAACTCCAGTGCTAACCATTACTTTATAGTACTGCTAACCATTACTTTAGAGTACTGAAGTAAAAAACATTCAAGGAAGAAAATTGGTTACTGAAAATAGGATAATGGAGCAGTAATGAAGTTTAGCAGTTCACTAAAATTTTAAAATGTCTTACTTGGTGGTGGACGTAAACATCACAGGCGTAGCACCACACAGACAGGTCAGAGAAACTTAGCACCATCTTGTGTTCCTCCATCAGCCCATGCATCATCATATGCTCATTCACAAACCGTCCACACAGTACCTGTTTTAATGAGTAATTACTGGTAAATACAGTAGTACTCATATAATACAACCTCATGAAAATGCTGGGATGAAGGGCTCACTATATTAAAAGTACACACAAATAAAACTATGTACAATCCATGTCACTTATAAAATTATAAGCCACACAGACTGGTAGCTTCGCAATTCCTAACCGGCAACTTCGCTGGGTGCATCCCTTCCCCACCCTACCTCCAGAAACACACAAACCAGGCAATTAATCACTGGTCAGCCAAGATGTAAAAATTAATGCTTACCCTCGAACATGTTAGCATGGATTAAAATTTTTCTTATCGTGTTTCTATAATGCATTTGTTTTACTTACGAACATGATAGAATATATAATATGATACAGTATTGGAACTTCGAATCAGGCTATTGCTCGTGCACCAGTTGAGATGCCCACTGTGCCTCGAGGTTCACCTTCGCTCGACGGTAAGTTGAAAGGAGATGTCATAATTGTCAAGGTCAACCAGAACACAAAATCACTTCACTTTAGCAAAAATGTACAGTAGCTTCACCAGTTGTTTTGTCCTCATAACTGGCATCTTCACTAATGCTCTCCAATGTTTTCATAATTTCTGTTTTTTCATATGAAGACACAAGAGTACTATGTACTTGTAAAGATGAAGAGGATATTGGTAATTAAATGATAAGAAGAGGAAGGAAATTAGCAGTGTGGTTAAATGAAGAGAGAACTTAACCTAAATAATATGGGAATTATGGTGATATTTATACTGTCATGTTAAAAGGGTCTTATGTAACACTGGCATGTGCACAGCCTTCATACAGGAAACAAGCACTTGTCTGTTCTGGTGATATCTTCCACACATAACATGCCCATACACTCTTTATTTTTTAAATTTTATTTCTCTATATTACTGTACAGTATACAGTACGTATTTTCTTTATCCATAAGGCACACTAGCACATTGAAATGACTTTTCTGCAAGTTCTGTGGCTACTTACACATAATAATGGAATAAGTGCTAGTCATGTGAGAGGTGACCGATGTATTTTGGCGTGGTAGAAACTTAATATTTGTAGGGCACTTTTCTTACTTATTATATAAGATGCTTTCAACACTATTCATGCATCATATTCAGGTACACACAGACACAGTATAAAACGGTGGATGATGTAGACAACGTATTTGTGAAACAATTGACATACAGGTACAATGAATATTTCTCGCCATACAGGTAACTCGCGTTTTACGTGCGTTTGAGTTAAGCATTTTTGGAACAATGCGATTGTTCAATTAATACCAAAAGCTAACTTACGCGCACCTATTTTTGAAATAACGCGGTCAAGACAGTTTAAATTTGCCGCGCATATTTGCCTGGTAGTGGATGTTGCGTGTGATGCCTGGTGAGGTGCTTGTAAGTTATTACTATAAAGTTGCAGTCATATCAACATCAACAATTTTAATATTATTATTATTAATAATAATAATTATAATAATGTAATAATAAAGATTTTTACTACTAATGATGAAGATAATGATGACAATGAAGTATTCTGTACTAACAACTGTGACGACGTCCAGAAAGCTTCCTGTGTATCACTTACTCAGTTCACACCAGCACTACTTTTTCTCTGTGCTCTCATTTGCATTGTGTGTTTATCACGTCCCTTTTTAGTGTTAAACGCTGTTTTCCACATTGAGCATGTCTGGAAAACACTCATCTGCCTCCTCTGGGACGCCTAAAGCTAAAAAGGCACGAAAAACAATCGCAATGGCGAGAAATTAAATGTGATCACCCGCCTTCAGATAGGGGAGCATGGGTCAGAGGTTGGTACCCTGTGCGGTATATGATGGTTCCCCTAACCTGTACCATTTACATGTAATTTTATGGGAAAATTATGTTTAATTTATGCATTTTTTAATCTAGCGGTGGTTTTCTAGAACGTAACTCCCGCGAAAAATGAGAGGTGGGTGTATTCGTTAGCGACATACTGTACTGTATATGAGGCGCCTAGCGTAGGAGGGACGAACTCGCCAGTCCCCCCAAAAATCTGTTTTCTATGGTTTCGGAATTTTCCAGGCTTTATCTTTCCAATTGTGATGTCAGGAAGTGGCGAGTTAGTCTCTACTCCCTGTTGTTTTCGTATAGATTTAGGGGTGAAATGAACCACGCGGTCAGGCCCGAAAACGCGCCAAGCGTGAGTGTAGGAGTGACGAACTCGGCAGCCTGGCTGGGGCCGCACAACCAATGGGAACACAGGGAGGCAGCTATACCCACCCGCTCAGCCTGTGAGTGTCGATTACCCACCCCAGTGTTAGTACACACGGTGTCGTGCATGTGTTTCTCATCGATAGTGCTCTTATTTTAATGTTTTCCCATTATGTAATAATCACCTGATTTTATAAAAATGATTGTTTGTCTTGTGAAACTTTTTTTTTACGTGTACATTGGGAAGAACAATATTTATTTTACTGGCTATTTATAATATTTTTTGGTACAACAGACTTGTCATTGTATTATGCACACCTTCTACACACAAAAATTATCAATATAGAACATAACTGAGGCAATTCTATCAATATTCCATGGCGCTGTGTGATATTACAATTTTAAAACTTTGACGTGCGTTTACTCAAAACTATGATTTGGTGAGTTCGTCATTCCTACGCTAGATGCCTTATATATATACTCTGTACCTATATGACATATACCGGTAAAACGTACATCTCTGATCCTCCAGTGGTTAAGACACAAATATGTGTACCGGTATGTGAGTTCTATGTTCTTTGTAATACTGAAATACTGTCTATGAATTTGTCAGTACACTTGTGTCTGAGCAAGTGACCTCGTAGTATTCTCTATAAAATTATCAAATATTAAACTGAAGCTCAAACTACATGAGTATGGGGGGAAAGAAATCATGTAGGTAACTGAAATGTTAATGCAGAAATTTCCATTAACCATTTGTTATTACAGTGTAAAACTGTGATAAAACCTTTAATCAAGTTATATACTGTACAGTCGACCCCCGTTAATTCGGACTAATAGGGGGGGGAAGGGTGTCCGTTTTAGCCGATTGTCCGAATTAACCGATTTAGGGGTTAATATTGCATTATATTTCAGAGTTATTGTTTTCATCACAATTTTATCCCACTTTCCGCTGTAATACGTAAGTAATTTCAGCAAAAATATTACATTTCCGTGAATGTAGTACAGTGGGGTATGCTATAACGAACGGATCCTACTGCGAATATTCCTATAACGAACGGTTTTACCTATAAAATTGAGATTGCTATAACGAACGAAACTCCTACAACGAACATTATTTAGAAACTAAAATTCTTTTTTTTTCTTTCTTTTTTTTTTACTAATTTATTGTTTTTTTATTACAAGTATTAATGATGTTCTTTATTTCAGGGGTTTAGATGCTTATTTATGCACTTTTTTAAAATTTTTACAATTTTATATTATATTTTTCAGTGTTAAGTGGTTGTATTTGGGGGCCTGGAACGAATTAATCCTATAACGAACAAATGCTATAACGAACAAGGTTCTAGAACCAATTAGATTCGTTATAGCATACCCCACTGTATATCAAGCACAGTATGAATAGAATATCATTGTAATATAACAGTATTTTAACCGAAAACTATTAAAAAAACGAGTAACATCTCAAGAACATCGGAAGCCTAGGTAAAGTCTTTTGTTTTCGTCATGTATTTTATCCTATTTTACATTGAAATACATCACGTTTCAGCAAAACTACTATTTATTTCCAAGAATATATTCATTCAGGCGCAGTTTAGGTAAAATATACATGTGATGTAACAGTTTTTTAACTGAAAACGATTAAAAAAACACGTACCCTCTAGCACTGTTCAAGGAGAGGACTGGGAGAAGCTGTTTGGTGCTGCAAACGATGACAAGGAAAATGATTTGGATGGATTTTAATGAAATATTCAGAAATATGGTATCGTAGTATTTATTCAAGTCAATTAGGATAGAATATTATTGTAATACAACAGTTTTTTAACTGAAAACCAATCGAAAAGCGATTACGGTAACATCTTTTGAACGAAAGAAAGCGAAAGTCATTGTTTTCGTCACGATTTTATCCCACTTTCCACTGTAATACATACGTCATTTCAGCAAAAATATTACATTTCCGTGAATGCATTATATCAAGCACAGTATGAATAGAATATCATTCTAATATAACAGTATTTTAACCAAAAACTATTAAAAAAATGAGTAACTTCTCTTGAACATCGGAAGGTTAGGTAAAACCTTTTGTTTTCGTCATGTATTTTATCCTATTTTACATTAAAATACATCACGTTTCAGCAAAACAACTATTTATTTCCGAGAATATATTCATTCAGGCGCAGTTTGGGTAAAATATACGTGTGATGTAACAGTTTTTTAACTGAAAACGATTCGAAAAACACGTGTGCCGTCTAGCTGATACTCACAGCTGGTGGTGCGTCATTATAAACAATAGGAGGTTGAAGTAGATTACCGGGTATTATAAGTGTGAAATATCGAAAAAGTTTTTATTACCGGTATTTTTTGTAGATCAATGAGAACTGTGATACCGTATATGATATGATAAGTTAGCCTGTGCTAAGAACTTCAACATAGACTACAGTTGTACCCCACTTAACGCGGTCAATTGAACCCAGAGGGTCCCGTGTTAAGTGAAAACCGCGTTAAGTGAATAACAGAACATATGGGATTAATTCCAATAGAACCCAGCCCGACCCCCAAACTCCACTTTTTGACGACAAATAACTATGTTGTAGTAAAAATAACATCTTAATTTTATGATGGTACATGCACACAATTAATACTTAAGAGAAATAGAGAAATACAGTCGCCAAGTTAATGTCCATTCAAATAATGGACTCAACTCCCTCCCCCTCTTCTCACACTACACTCACTGGCTCTTCCCTCTGAGAAATTTTTGGGGGAAAACCAGGTATAGTAATAAATAATTCCTCAAACTAAAGTTAGGATAATATAATTGACATTGCTGGATTCCTTGTAAGACCAGGAATATTTTGAATATAAATGTCATATATTTTTCACAAAAGATAACATATTTACTCAGAATAAACTTTACATCTAAAATTTGTATGTCTAATGCAAAATCTATGATGTTTATATTCAAAATGATCAGCAAATTGTAAGAATTCCAGCAATGTAAATTATATTCTGGCCGGATAATTTGTATGAATTTTATGAGCTAAAACAAATATCTTCAGTTAATAAAAAAAAAAAAATATTCTTCGACACTATCTGTCAATCAAAGTACCCCACCTTGCCTTCCCCCCCTCTTCCAACCGCGTGGTCAGTCCCAACCCTCCCCCCACCCCCACCAATCCTCCATTCAAGAGTTTTTAACATTTAGTATTAAATAATACCTCAGATTAAAGTTAGGATAATATAATTGACATTGCTGGATTCCTTGTAAGACCAGGAATATTTTGAATATAAATGTCATATATTTTGGACAAAAGATAACATAATTACCTAGAGAACAATTTTTATCTAAAAATTGTATGTTTAATGCAAAATATATGTTGTTTATATTCAAAATGATCACCAAATTATAAGAATTCCAGCAATGTAAATTATATTCTGACCGGGTAATTTGTATGAATTTTATGAGCTAAAACAAATATCTTCAGTTAACAAAAAAAAAAATAATTCTTCACGGGGTAACAGATGGTCGGTCGGTCGGTCGGTCCCTCCCTCCCCCCCACCCCCCACCAACCGTCCCAAGGAGATGTGTGGGATAACCACTAAATTTTAATAAATAATACCTCAAACTAAAGTTAGGATAATATAATTGACATTGCTGGATTCCTTGTAAGACCAGGAATATTTTGAATATAAATGTCATATATTTTGGACAAAAGATAACATAATTACCTAGAGAACAATTTTTATCTAAAAATTGTATGTTTAATGCAAAATATATGTTGTTTATATTCAAAATGATCACCAAATTATAAGAATTCCAGCAATGTAAATTATATTCTGGCTGGGTAATTTGTATGAATTTTATGAGCTAAAACAGGCAGTCAGGCAGGGTGGCGTGGTGGGGTGGTGCGAATCTAAAAATAGCTCTCGAGCCGGACACTCACTGCGTATATGATGAAAAATGCCGCGTTAAGTGAAAGTTCAGCTTTGGCAAGGCACCGCGTATATGCGAAAACGCGTTAAGTGAAAGCGCGTTAAGCGGGGTAATACTGTACTGAAAACACGTTGTAAGGTAATTTAACCTATTGTAAGTTGGTGAGCTTCATTTGCTGAAGGCACTGCACAACTTTTCATTACTAATTGTTACATATTTTACGTTTCCATTGTTTACTGGCAGTAAATGGTAAATATTTTTCATGTCTGAAGCTAAAAGTTGCATCCCCCCCCCCACACTAGTGGTGGAGATGTTACATTTAACCAAAAAGACGCTGGTGTTTTATCCCAGCAGTGGGTGGACCAGCATTTTAGCTTAAGGTCCGCGTAGGTAATATTCCTACAAATCTAAAAAAAAAAAGTTCAGATTTTGTCCGAATTATCTGAAATCCGGATTAAAGGGGTCCGAATTAGCGAGGGTCGACTGTACTTAACTACATAAACTGGTGAAGTGTAAGAATGAATGGTAAGTGTTGAAGCGTGCATCTACTGTGCTCGTGTTCTGGGTAATAAGTTCTATCTACAGCAGTGAACACAAACACCTGGATAGTTTCGTAGGTTCTATTTACTGGATAAAAGATATGTACACAAGGGTGGGTAGCGCTCCTTACTCTGTCCGCTGGTCAACTACTCTCTAGGCGACCTATGGGAAGTGATACATTAACAGCTTCCATATGTCGCCAGGCACATTAATTAGGCATGTGGGACATTGATAAATACATTGCCACACGCTACTAGCTAGGCTGAATAAATAGTACATAAATGGAGCACATACATAATATACATAGCATACAGAATATTCATACATACTGTATGCCTCAAAGCTCTATGCACCACCAAAAAGAAATAAAGCTAAGACAGCATTTACTGTTTAACCAAGCAGACATCATCAACACCATTTTCCATGCTTGAATGAATTGGAATAAATTTTACCTTCATATGTGCCTGTAGTTACTGCCCAGCTCCCAATGACCCATTGTTGTTCCTACACTGTAAAAAAATTTCTATACCATATGGGAGGCGAGATAAGCAGAGTTGCATACCTTGTAGCAGGTAAGACAGATCCAATTCTCAGTAGGGTCCTGACACTCTTCACAGGGGCTGGAAGTCTTTAGTCCATTACGAGGTACAGGTTTCACTTCTTCCAGGTGGGGACACCAAGTTGCTGGAATTACCGCAAACATCTGAAATGAAGGAAATTGTTGTCACATACGAGTACTGAGTATTTACACGTCTCTTTATATATACAGTCGACCCTCGTTAATTCGGACCCCTTTAATCCGGATGCCCCACAGACCACAATTGACACTTTCTTTAGTAAAAGGCAGAGGGAACAAGATGCTATCCCTCAGCCTTCCACTTCAAGAAGGAGAGAGGATGATGCTAGGCCTCTGGCTTCCACTTCAAGAAGGAGAGAGGATGCTCATGGTGGAGAAAATGTCAGTCCAGAGGTTCCTGACATTTTCAATGGAAGGTGACTCACCTTCCAAGAAGCAGTAAAATGCTTCTCCTCCACCTCCACTTCCTTCTCTTCTCTCTTCTCCTCCTCCACCTCCCACTTCAAATTCACATCATCATCATCATCATCCAGGAGCTTTCTACATACACACCTCAAGGTAAGTGTCAATTTCAAAATTTTTTGTTGAATTTAGGCAATGTTCGGTGAGCTGGAAACCATTACCCAAAAACCCATTGAAACAATGGTTTCGGTTAACGAGCAACCTGCTGGAACGGATTGTGCTCGTTAATCGAGGGACCACTGTATTCTGAAGGACAAGGAACGTATTCGTGAAGTAGTGAAAGGAACAACACCTATAAAGGGAACTATAATATCAAAGAGAAGACAAGGTCCTATTCACGATATGGAAAAATTATTGGTGATATGGATAGAAGACCAGATACAGAAGCATGTACCCTTAAGCCTTCTAACCACACAGGCTAAAGCAAGAAGCCTGTTCCAAAGCCTGAAGGAGCAGGCAGAAGATGAATGTGATCAAACCTTTACAGGAAGTCATGGGTGGTTTGATAGATTTAAAAAAACGCTACAGTCTACATCATGTTAAGGTGAGTGGAGAGGCAGCTAGTGCCGATGTTGGTGCTGCCGAATCTTTTAAGGAGGAGTTAGATGATGTTATTGTGGAAGGGAATTATTTGCCTGAGCAAATATTCAATGTGGATGAGACTGGATTATGCCCGGATTCAAGGCATTCAAGGACAGAATTACACTTCTGTTGGGGGGGAATGTTGCTGGTTTCAAGCTAAAGCCCTTCATGATCTATCATTCAGAGAACCCCAGGGCTTTTAAACATAACAGCAAGCACACACTGCCAGTGTTTTATCGCAGTAATAAGAGAGCCTGGATGACCCTAGTACTGTTTGAGGATTGGTTCATGACTTGTTTCATTCCACGAGCCAAAGAGTATTGTCTGCAACAACAGATTCCATTCAAGATTTTACTGATTTTGGATAATGCTCCGGGACACCCACCACACCTGGACGACATGCACCCTGATGTTAAGGTAGTGTACATTCCACCTAACACTACCTCTATCATCCAACCCATGGATCAAGGTGCTATTGCTGCCTTTAAAGCGTATTATTTACGCACGACCTTCGCTCAGGCTGTTGCTGCTACTGAAGGTGAGAAAATGCTCAGAGAGTTTTGGAAGGAGTACAACATTTTGTCATGTATAAAGAACATTAGTGCAGCATGGGATCAGGTTACAAAACATTGCATGAATGGAATATGGAAGAAAATCCTGAAAAGATATGTGAACAGTTTCAAAGGATTTAATGAAAATGAAGTTATTTCGGATATAAGTAACAAGATAGTGGAGTTAGGTAAACAGCTGGAGTTAGAAATTGATAATGAAGATGTTGGACAGTTGGTTGAAAGTGTAGCAGAAGAGCTCAGTAGCGAGGATCTTATTGAACTAGATGCACAGAAAATTGCAGAGGAAGAAGAGAGACAAAATGTAGAAGAAGAACCTGCACCCCCCAAAAAGTTTTCAGTGAATCATATGGCAGAGGCATTTGCATGGATCAAAATTATGAGCGTTATGCCAAAGTTGACAGAATGATCCAAGATGCACTTGCTTGCTACAGAGAAATTTATAATGAAAAGAAAAAAAACTGAGCACTCTAAATTAGACATCTATTTTAAGAAGTCCCCCAGTGCTGTCTCCTCACGCCCCACCAGTGCTGCCTCCTCACGCCCCAGCAGTGCTGCCTCTTCACTCCCTCAAGATGATCCAATACCTTCAACCAACAAGTTTTCACAGTACATAAACCTGTCTGTAGAAAGCGACATTGATGACCCACCCAGCCCTGTCTCCTCTTCTGCTTCTTCCAATTAATATAGTCTCCATGTATCCTGTAAATAGAAAATTATGGGGGCCCTGTGTGCATTCAGCTGACTACATTTAAGGTATGTGCTCAGTCACACTGTATCCATTCCTCATTATTTATTACGTTTAGTGTACTGTATTTCATTGTACATTTTATTAAAAAAAAAAAAAAAAAAAAAAAAATTGATTTTTTTTATTTATTTTCTTTTTCTATGTCGGACTTACGACCTGGATTTGGGTCCCTAACCCCATCGTAAGTCGGGGAGCACCTGTATATGGCCGTATAAAATATTTTTCACATTATGCATTTTCGAGTCCCGACGTTAGTGATTGCGCTGTGTACGTACTGACAAAATTTTCCTTTGTAATTCCCTTTAAAATGGCTGGTAAGCGTAAAAGTGAGAGTTCTCGTGGTGCTGAGAAGAAAAAGCGACACCCATTTTAGAATTTATATCTATTATTTTCTCTTTTTCGACTTACGAGCTGGTGGTCGGGACGGAACCCCGTCGTATGTCGAGGAGAGATTGTATATATATTCCTGAAGTGTAATGGTCACATTGGTAAATAAAGTAAAAATAAAAACCCACATTAGAGAAATAAAAGACAAAATATTGAAGCTGGTATTTTTTGGTTCAAATACTAGGACCCTCTTCAGCCAACTAACAGAATAAAGCAAGGGAGAAAAAACACAGACATGAGAATCAGGCCAGATGACCTGTCTCCCGAGTTGAGGAAGGCTGGGGACGAGGAGTAATCTTCTTGATGACAGTATTCAGGATCAGGTCTGGGGTCCACTGACCATATGCCAGGTTAAAGTTTGGTCTAGAATTAATAAATGAAGATTAAAAAAAAATTCTACTGATGCCACAATTGGACTTATAAATCACAGAAGAATTATTCCATCTATTGCATGAGCTTCATTTTGTACATGGTTGGAGATAGCATAATTCTCCTGTCCATATCTTACGTGAGCACGTTTGTGTTTAATTATTCAGGTATTTAAATTGTGGCCAGTTTGACCAATATAAACTTAGTTACATACATTGCTTACAAGGTAATTTATGCATTCCAGGATTACCTTCCAGAGACAGTCTTTGGTACACATTGATAAGGTTTTTTCCTATGTTAGGAAACCTGATTACTGTACAGTGGTCCCTCGGTTAACGAGCACAATTCGTTCTAGAAGGTTGCTCGTTAACCAAAAAATTTGTTAACCAAAACCATTGTTTCAATGGGTTTTTGGGTAATTTGTTCCAGCCCACCGAAAATTGCCTAAAGTCAACAAAAAAGGTAGTAAAGTACACTTACTTTGAGGTGTGTATGTAGAAGGCTCCTGGATGATGATGATGATGATGGGAATTAGAATGGGGGTGGAGGAGAAGGGAGAAGAGAAGGTATTTGGGTGGAAGAGAAGTCATCCCATGGTGCCATTTCACCAATAAAATTTTAGTTCACTTGGTGTAATTCAAGATTATTTTCTTTAAATCAACACTGCACTGCATTATATATTGTCAATATGAAAAATAAATTTCAAAATGACCAATAATTTGACTAGAAACACAGAAAAACAGCGTTTATGTTGAAGAGAGTCTGAAGCAAGATGTTACCTCCACTGAAAAGACAGAGACTGACACCTGTATGGTGTGTTGACAGGCTGTTTGGCACGCTAAAAACTAGTTTTCCTGTAGGTACTTAAATTATGTTAAATAATTGTTATAATTACTAAAAAATTTAATACAAGACTTTGAAAATTTTTGAATAGTACAAACTTCTTGATATTTACTAAAATAGTAAGGAATTTAAGCCCTAGAACCGATTACTATATTGGTGGATTAATATGACAGCTAGTGTGCAAGCGAAAACCTGTTGAGGGGGCGCTCGTAAGGAATTCGTTAATCGAGGGAATGCTTGTTAACCGAAGTTAAGAATCTTATGGAAGGTAATTCGTTAACCGAGGGATCACTGCAGTGCATTATTTTGAGTACATGTACAGTACAGCTTTGCCCTTAGGACAGTGTAGCGTGACCAGAGGAACATTAGGTGCGAATTTTATAATATGATGCGCCAGATTGACTCGCGCAAAATAGGAAAAAAAAAAAACGCTTTTAATTAAAACATTGTCCTTAAATGTGGGTCTCGCTTTAAATCAATAACCTTAAATTGAATCGCTTTAAATTGACGTTCTTCTGTAATGTATTATTTTCTTTGGATTTTGTTCTTCAATTTTCAGATTCTTTGATAATGAGGATGTACTTTTATTCTATGATAAATATTTTTGGCTTCCACGTTCCTGACCACAGGGTGGATTATTATTATATACAGTACTATGAATCTTTCTACCCATTCACTATCTTTACTTCTTATTCACATTTGTCTGGAAGGCATCAAGGGGCAGAGACTCTTCAAATAAAGATGTGAAAAAGAAATACAGTGGTCCTTCGGTTAACGAGCACAATCCGTTCTAGAAGGTTGCTCGTTAACCGAAACCATTGTTTCAATGGGTTTTTGGGTAATTGGTTCCAGCTCACCGAAAATTACCTAAATTCAACAAAAAAGGTAGAAAAGTACACTTGCTTTAAGGTGTGTATGTAGAAGGCTCCTGGATGATGATGATGGGAATTAGAATGGGGGTGGAGGAGAAGGGAGAAGAGAAGGCATTGGGGTGGAAGAGAAGTCACCCCATGGCACCATTTCACCCATAAAATTTTAGTTCTCTTGGTGTAATTCAAGATGATTTTCTTTAAATCAACACTGAACTGCATTATATATTGTCAATATGTAAAATAAATTTCAAAATGACCAATAATTTGCTTGTAAACACAGAAAAAAGCATTTAGTTGAAGAGTCTCAAGCAAGATGTTACCTCCACTGAAAAGACACAAAGACTGACGCCTGTATGGTGTGTTGGCAGGCTGGATGGCGTGCCACAAACTAGTGACCCTACCTTCAATTATGTTCAATAATTGTTAAAATAACTAAAAAATTTAATATTAAACTTTTAAAATTATTGAATAGTATAAACTTCTTGATATTTACTAAAAGGGTAAGGAATTTAAGCCCTAGAACCGATTACTGTATTGGCGAACTAATACTACAGCTGGTGGACCGCCAAATGCAAGCTAAAACATGTGGAGGTCGGCTCGTAAGAAACTCGTTAATCGAGGGATTGCTCGTTAACCGAAGTTAAGAATCTTATGGAAGGTAACTCGTTAACCGAAATCTCGTTAACCGAGGTGCTCGTTAACCGAGGGACCACTGTACCACAAATGAAAACCTTTTTTTTTTCTAACCTGTTATTTATCTTTGTCTAATGAAATCAAAGCCTAAAGATCTCATATCTTCATCTGCTCTCTTGTTTCAGTCAATCAATAAACATGCTATCTAGTGAAAGAATGTCAGACACTGACATTGCATACCTCTTCGGCAGCAGCCAATTCAGATAGCAGGAAGGTGTTTACATTATCACCTGCTGAGCCTCCACATGCTCCACCCTCAGCAACAACATCCTCTTCCATTTCCTCATTGTGTGATTCCTCTCCTTGTACCTTATCCGAGGAAGCCCCTACACCTTTGTCTGTATCAACCAGCTTCACTCGATCTAAGGTCTCTGTCAGCTCGTCCAAATCTGGTGGATGGATACATGTTACAATGACAAATAATCACCGGTGTTAATGATAATAAGTTGCTGCATGTTAAAAAATGACATCTAAACAATAACTTTCAAGTATGTCACTTACCAGAATCAACTTTGTTAGCATATCCAAGAACCTCTCCCATAATACACAAAAAGACTACTTCACATGTTTACCCAAGAATTCTTTTATGTGTTTGCCATATGCTGTACAAGCTAAGACTATACAGTACATCTTGATGCATTTGGCAGTTGACTGAATCTCCAATTTTAGTGTGAAAATTATCACTTAAAAGTAGCATGGGGAGGTGCACATGACAGCAAGAGCAGTGCCATTGTTGACACTACTGTACAGTACACATTTGTACACTTACCATCAAATTTCTTGTTGGGAGATTGTGAAACTGAATTGTCAGTTTTACATTTAAGTTTGGGTGATGCTCCTCCCGTATCTCTTCTGGATGATGAAATGTGACCTAGAGGTGATAAGGCTTCATTCTGCAACATAATGAAAAATGCATACTGTACATTGCTTTAAAAGTTTTGGGATGACACTTAAGGCAAATTTACACAGGCAATGACATTAAATAGTCAAATATATATAATTATTATTATTAAACATTTGATGCTCACCTTCAAGTTTAGTGCAGACCAGAATTTTTTATGTACAGAAACAACATTGGTCAGAGTCTCTATGGCACTTATACAAGGCGTCAAATTCTGGGCCAGAGGAACTAGGGGGTCACCCAGCAGGGCCTTGGCACACATGGTCATGCAATAGCTGATAGAGGCCAGGTTGTAACCGCCTTCCAGGGCCAAGATGACACGACCCTCGGCTACGCACATCAGTAACTTGGTCATGTGTCCATAACACTCGGGAGTCACACTGCAGCCTGTAAGACAGAGAGAAGATACTGTACAACACTACTTGATGACAATGATGGAGACAAATGGATGGAGGTTGACAGGTGCTACAACTATACAACACTTTGTATTACAGTACCTCCGAGTTCAATTCTTGCAAATTCAATTATCCGCGAAACAACCTCAAAGGTTTTTATCTATTAAAATAACATAAAAAGGTAAGATGCTTATTTTAAAAACTGTGGGCATCCTCCATGATGTGACATCATGGCGGCACTAACTGGTGGTAGTGCATCTGGTGTTAAGAGAGTGAAGAAAGTCACGACTCTGACACAGAAAATTGAAGTGTTAGATAAACCTGATCGTGACATGAGTGCGTCAGTGCATTTGAAGTGAATGTGTCAACTGTTTGTTCCATAAAGATGAAAGGCAAGGAAATTAGAATAGTGTTGCCTAAGTTACACATCAGATATATGATAAAGGTATGTGAGAAGATGGAGGTGTTAAGTGGATGGATTGAGGACATGAGTCAGCTGTGCCAAAAAATTTAACATATATGATGTACGACTATGACCCATCAATGGAATTAAGCATCAAAATGAAGCGGAATATTGAGAATGTTTTACAACCTTATCAAGAAATTTATAAAGAACTAAAAAAGAAAGCCAAACAACTGCCAATAACAATGTTTGTAATGACGAGATCCATCCCCCCCTCACTCTAGTCTCTCTCCTCACCACCCAGCCTGGAGTCGTCTGCATCACCCCTCCCACTCACAGCCTGCCTCTTCCCTTCACTCCACCAATACGGCTTCCTCACCTGCCAGTCCTTCATGGACATTCTGGATGATTCCAGTCCAGAAGTCTTAAAGGAGGAGCAGTAATATCTTCAGTATAATTACTGAGGCCTCTACAGCAGCTCATTATGATGTAAGTAAAGTACACGTTATATATACATAAGTAAAACTGCTAATTATTTTGCTCCCTGTGTCGATATTATGGTTATGACTGGGATAAATTATATATTCTTGCCAGTCAAAAGCTTGTTACAGGAAAACTTAATATTCAGTATGTATGCATGTTTTATACACAGCAATGCATGTTGGGCGTGCGTTTGTGTGTGTGTCGATGACGCAGTGGTGGTGGTGGTGGTACAAGTATGGGCCGTGTGAGGCAGGCAGCAGACGACGCGTCGCGCTACTGCAATCCAGTTGACTTCCGTAACGTCACACCACATTTACTTGTTTCTCATTTAATTTATTTTTGATTAACACATAATACAACTATATAAAGTAACTGTACATACCTGTATAGTATTTAAAGGGCTTAAATAACTTTTTTTTTTTCTAACTTTATTTATTTTTTGTCACTAATTTATGGTACACTATAATATTAAAAATAGGGTACCCATTAGAGAAAGTTATTCGCGAAATTCTACATGCACGGGTGTCCCAGAAACCTATTCCTTGAGAATGTTGAGGTACTAGTGTAAAAAACTGTACCTCTTACTGTACAGCTAAACTACGGTAGTTACAGTAAGAATGAATGGTGGCAGATGCATAGATTAACAGACGAATAAACTACTCGGGGAAATCTGAAGTAGAGTACAGTACAGTGGACCCTTTGTGCAGTCTAGCCAAGATTCTGACCTTGCTCCCGACTCCAAAAGACGAACAAACATCTGTCAATGGTAATGATGACACACACCAAGTTTCAAAACGATTCATCCAAATTTATAAGACTACAGTAATTATGTCATTAAGTTTTGGGTTTGGTTATATACCCACCTGTAGATGCCCTGACACAGCGCAGGTGATAACAATACAGTGCTCCTTGTAAGCTGCTTTTGAAATTCTCAGGGATTGATATCAGAAAGATTCCATTCAGTAAAACCAGAGTCTTTGTATTGAATGATTCTCTTAATGATCTACTACTTAAATAATGACTATGAACTGGGAAAAATATACAAGGGTCCACTGCAGCTTGTGAGTCAAGCATCATGAAAAACACTGGTCACTGATGTAAAGAAATAAATAAAGAAAAAGGAAAACAATTATGCACGTTTTGTGAAACATCATTGTGAATGTACGTGGACGTAAATCTTAATAGCGTGTTACATGAGCCAACAGATGGTTCAGTGTTGATGTGTAGTTCCCTGTGTCCTCTTACACTATGCATGTACAGTCGGCCACAAGAATAAGTATACACCTATGGTTCGTGTTTGAGACAAAATATCTGGAAACACTGTCCTGAACAGAACAGACAAAATTACAAAATGATCTGTAATTTATGCTTTATTCCTACATATATTTTATAAATACATTTGTTGTGAATGTTTTACTAATGTCTTGTGTTTATATTACAAGTAATATATTGTATCCAATGGTAGTAAACTTGTTGCCGAATGGGATTGTCATTATTGTACAGCTCCATCCTCCTGCCCGACTTTTTCTCTTACCCTACTTTTTTTTTACTGATGTTTGGATTAGTAAAGGAAGGAAGAAGAGTAAATAGAAGAATAAAGAAGAGAAACAGAAAATAGTTAGAGATAACAGGTGGGGGGAGCTGAGTTTCATCATGCGTCTGGATGCGCAGTTTCAACGTTACCTGACCATTTTTGGACCTTACAGCTACAGTGTGAAAACTTATTCCTGTGGCCGATTGTACACATTACTGACTAGACCTGTGGACTTACTGTAGTTTTCAGTTTAGATTAATATACTGTGCCTTAGTTTGAGTCCTACCTTCATACATATTATATCAAGGCGCCTCACCTTGCTACGTACACTCATTTACGTGAGCTTTTATGGAGAATATATGTAGAGAAATTATGTAAATACCTATTTTAAGAAATGTAAAAATGCTGGGAGCTGGAGGGAGACAGGGCATTACTGCATTCACTAGGTTTAGTTATTGATTCAATACAATGCAGTACAGTTTTACCCCGCCTAACGCGGTTTCACTTAACGCGTTTTCGCATATACGCGGTGCCTTGCCAAAGCTGAACTTTCACTTAACGCGGATTTTTTCCACATATACGCGGTGAGTGTCCGAGACGCTATTTTTAGATTTGCCCCACCCGCCACCCTGCCTGACTGCCTGTTTTAGCTCATAAAATTCATACAAATTACCAGGCCAGAATATAATTTACATTGCTGGAATTCTTATAATTTGGTGATCATTTTGAATATAAACATCATATATTTTGCTTTAAACTTACAATTTTTAGATAAAATTTTTTCTCTAGGTAACTATGGTATCTTTTGTGCAAAATATATGACATTTATATTCAAAATATTCCTGGTCTTACAAGGAATCCAGCAATGTCAATTATATTATCCTAACTTTAGTTTGAGGTATTATTTATTAAAATTTAGTGGTTATCCCACACATCTCCTTGGGACGGTTGGTGGGGGGTGGGGGGGAGGGAGGGACCAACCGACCATCTGTTACCCTGTGAAGAATTATAATTTTTTTTTATTAACTGAAGATATTTGTTTTAGCTCATAAAATTCATACAAATTACCCGGTCAGAATATAATTTACATTGCTGGAATTCTTATAATTTGGTGATCATTTTGAATATAAACATCATATATTTTGCTTTAAACTTACAATTTTTAGATAAAAATTTTTCTCTAGGTAACTATGGTATCTTTTGTGCAAAATATATGACATTTATATTCAAAATATTCCTGGTCTTACAAGGAATCCAGCAATGTCAATTATATTATCCTAACTTTAATCTGAGGTATTATTTAATACTAAATGTTAAAAACTCTGGAAGGGAGGATTGGTGGGGGGTGGGGGGAGGGTTGGGACTGACCGCGCGGTTGGAAGAGGGGGGGAGGCAAGGTGGGGTACTTTGATTGACAGATAGTGTCGTGAAGATTATTTTTTTTTTATTAACTGAAGATATTTGTTTTAGCTCATAAAATTCATACAAATTACCCGGTCAGAATATAATTTACATTGCTGGAATTCTTATAATTTGGTGATCATTTTGAATATAAACATCATATATTTTGCTTTAAACTTACAATTTTTAGATAAAAATTTTTCTCTAGGTAACTATGTTATCTTTTGTGCAAAATATATGACATTTATATTCAAAATATTCCTGGTCTTACAAGGAATCCAGCAATGTCAATTATATTTTCCTAACTTTAGTTTGAGGTTATCCCACACATCTCCTTGGGACGGTTGGTGGGGGGTGGGGGGGGGAGGGAGGGACCGACCGACCATCTGTTAGCCGGCTGTGTAGTGTGAGAGGGGGAGGGAGTTGAGTCCATTATTTGAATGGACATTAACTTGGCGACTGTATTTCTCTATTTCTCTTAAGTATTAATTGTGTGCATGTACCATCATAAAATTAAGATGTTATTTTTACTACAACATAGGTATGTGCCTTCAAAAAGTGGAGTTTGGGGGTCGGGCCGGTTTCTATTGGAATTAATCCCATATGTTCTGTTGTTCACTTAACGCGGATTTCACTTAACGCGGGACCCTCTGGGTTCAATTGACCGCGTTAAGTGGGGTACAACTGTACAGTATTATATTCTCATATTATCAGCCGCAGAGCAGTGAAAACAGTTGTCAACAACCAAACTTATGTCTGATTTTCTTGAAACAGTCCAGATTGGTTATGTCAAAATTTCACTTTTTTCAGACTGGAGTGTGGCCCAATTGGTCCAGTGTATCGAGGTATAGTATTACTGTACGGTGTACGCGTATTTGTGGATGAACAATAAGCAGTTGTTGACTGTAATTAGATGAGCTGTCAGGCTAAAAACACAGTGGTCCCTCGATGAACGAACGGTCCAATTAACAAAATTTTGGTTAACGAATTAGCTCCCATAAGGATTTTCAGTTCCATTAACGAACAAAACTTTGATTAACGACAGCCTTACGAGAAACACGCTTTGTTGTGCGCATCAGCTGATCGGCTAGTCCGCCAATACAGTAATTGGTTCTATGTTTACATTTGTTTCCAGTGGAGTAAATATCAAGAAAGTTGTGTTCTTGAACATTTTTTATATTGAAATTATTGGTCATTCTAATTTAGTTAACATATTGATAATATATACAGCCAGGGTTGTTATGATTTAAATCAAATGATTTAAATCACATGATTTAAATCAATTTAAATAAGAGTAAAAAAATCATGATTTAAATCAAAATGATGTTTTTACTAATAACTGTTTTCTCTTTTTATTCTACATGATTGAAAAGTATATGCAATGCAGCAGGCTAATAACATTATTTGGATTTACATAATTCTGTACTGTACTGTACTATAGTCTGTTCTCTCCAGTTTTGCAAAACTTTGATCATATCATAAGGTCTCATTATTAATGTATATATTTACATGACATATATTGTTAACTAAGATAATAAATACAACTGAAATTCAGAAGAACTGTAGTATTCTCTTCTCCCGGCATTATATATCAGTCAATAAGGAGCAAGGGGCTGTAAATTTTTGCAAAGCTAGAGTGAACAGGCTGTAGGCACTAGGCTATACATATTCAGATATTCTATTTTTATTACTTAGTATGTTTTTTTTAACAGCGGACAACCGTATTTATCTTGTTGACTCTATAGACACAGAATCAAGACACAGCTGAATATCTGTTGAAATTAGCTGAATGTGCTACAAAAAAGTGTGAACACAAATTTGGATGCACAGTAAGAAGCTGTGTAACAGATAATGCTGCTAATATGGCAAAAATGAGAAGTGAATTTGGACAAGATAAATCCATTATAACATATGGTTGCTCTGCACACCTGTTAAATTTGCTTTCACAAGACCTGCAAATCAAGAACATTAAGGAGCACATTACTGAAATCATTAAGTACTTCAGAAATCATCACATCCCAGGATCTTTGTATAGAAGAGCAGGAGGAACAATGCTAGTAATGCCATCACACACACGATGGAACACAGTGACAGATTCTATTGAATCTTATTTAAAGAACTGGGAGACTCTTGTCAAAGTGTGCAAAGAAAATAGTGAAGACATTGATAAGAAAATTGAAAGGAAAGTTAATGATAATGCATTAAAAAGAACTGCAGAAGACTATTTAGAGAGACTTAAGCCTATTGCTGTGGCATTGTACTGTGTCCAGAGAGAACATACCCTATTAAGTGATGCTGTAGAAATCTGGGTAAAACTGAAAACTGATATTAAGGAGTATTTAACAGAGAAGAAGGATATGGATAATTTTGAAAAAAAGAATCAAAGTAGCATTGACACCTGCCCATTTTCTAGCTAATGTGATAGATCCAAGGTATCAGGGCAGACATCTGACTCCTGAGCAGCGAGACATTGCAGAACAGTATGTGTGCGAGTCTCTTCCACATTTCCTTTCAACATTAATGTCCTTCCATGGAAGAAGTACACCATTTAAAGAGGTCTATTTTGGTAAAGATGTTGTAAAATCTCTCTCACTCCTTGCTTGGTGGCAGTATTTTGCCAATGATATGACAGAAAATGTAATGGATGTTCCTAGGCAATTATTTACAGCTGTCGCATCATCAGCAGGGGTTGAGAGAATTTTTTCCACATATGGATTTGTACACTCAAGGGTAAGAAATCGCCTGGGACAGGAAAAGGCATCTAAGCTTGTCACAGTACATAAGCATTTCAATGTTCAACTAAGCTAATTTAAATGTTTTGAACTATTTTTGTTGTTTACAGAATGAGAATATTGTGTTGACTTGAAGTTATTACCGGTAATTCTTAATACACTATAATCCTACAAATGTAAGAAAATAAACTTGTTTCCAGTATTATTTTTTTTTACAAAATGAGAATATTATTCTGTTGACTTGAAGAAGTTAAGTTATTAATTTTTGAAACACTGTAATCCTATAAGAGCATTTATGTTAAATTTCATTATTATGTTTGGATTTGTGCACTCAAATGTAAGATATGTTACCAGTTTTCTTTTATTTTACAAAAATAATATTATTGTGTTAGCTTCCATTGGTACATCTACTGCATAAATATCTTAATGCCAATTTTCTGTTTATTATCCTGAATAAGCTTTGGTTGAAAAATACTGTTTTTATGGTTTAAAAATACTATTTTAATGCAATTAGTAAAACAATAAAAAAAATTGATTTAAATAAAAAATCCGATTTAAATCAAATACTTGTAAATCGATTTTTTTTATTAATAAAAAAAAAATCATGATTTTTTTCCAACCCCTTTATAATACAACACAGGGAACAGTTTTTGTGTGCCCATCAGCTGATCAAATCACCCACTAACGCTTCTCAATTTAACTTTGTTTACAGTGGAGTGAACATCCAGTTTGTTGGTCTCTTGAATATTTTTGCATTTTTACATTAAAATTAATGTTCATTCTGAGATTAAGGTAACATATTGATAATATACAGTACAGATATTATTATGAAAAATGAAGAAGGCATTAGAACCAATGCACTCTGTAAAGAATATGGCATTTCATCATCGACTGCCTCTACAATCAGCTGTTTGATATGTAAACAAGGCTGCTGGGAATACGACATACACACCTCAAAGTAAGTTAAAATACAGTATTCTATTATTTTTTTAGTTATTACTGTACAGTATACTGTACAATAGAGTACTGTATTTAGTTTATATTAAATGTTTTGTTAATTCTACTACTGGTATACAGTACTTTGTATGTACAGTCGACCCTCGTTAATTCGCACCCCCTTTAATCCGGATTTCGGATAATTCGGGCGAAATCTGAACTAAGCGAGGGACTGTCCGTATCAAATTTCTGGTTCTGGGATTGTCCGATAGATGGCGCGTGCGCGCCAGACCGCCAGTCAATGTTGACTTAACGCCATATTCAAGTATCAGTGTTGTGTTGCCCTGCAATTTTCGTTGATTTTCAGTGATTAGGCATCTTTCAGCCTTGTATTTTACATCATGTAAAGTATGTGACCCTTTCTGTGAACCAGAAACTGGAACTTATAAGGAAGTTAGAGGCTGGTGCTTCGGTGGCTAGAGTTTGTGACGAGTATGGTGTTAAAAAGCAAACAGTTTCGGACATATGCAAGGCTAAGGACAAACTCACTGCATTTTCCTTGAAATATAATGCAATATTAACCCCTAAATCGGTTAATTCGGACAATCGGCTAAAACGGACACCCTTCCCCCCCTATTAGTCTGAATTAACGAGGGTCGACTGTATACTTTTTCTGTGAGTTGGAACCAATTACCCAACATCCCACTGAAATAATACCCTTTTTTAAATCTAGTTGTATACAAAAAAAAAAAAAAAAAAAGTCACGAATATGATGATTCTTTAGTGGATAAATCACGCTCCTCACACTTTCTGCTTGCATTCACCAGTTTGAATAAGTGTTTGTACAGTATTGGTTATCATACTAAAGTTTAACAATACCGTCTACTCACCACCAAGAGGATCTCCAACAGATGCATCAAAGCCAGCTGCGACGAGCACAAGTTGGGGTTTGAATTCATATGCAATGGGCAGCACCACCTCCACCATGGTCGCCACATAGTCACCGTCACCCATGCCTCTCTACAGATTTGTGCATTTGAAATAACCATATTATAAATAAGAATTAATTCAACTTGCTGTATCCAGTAAATCCTACCACCTCTAGTAGCGGTGGCTCTCAGGGAATTTTTAATGTCACAGAGATTTTACCAAACTGATACTGCACACGAAAGAGGTGAGTTTTGTTTTGGATAGTTAATTGTAAACAAGACTTTCACCATTTATTCAACTTGTAACATTATATGAGCAGCCCAGCACCAGAATGGAATAAGTGTAAAAAAAAAAAAAAAAAAAAAAAAAAAATTCACACCCAAAGCTGCGCCACAGTAAAATTGATATGTAATGACAAATTAACATTTCAAAACTGTTTTCTGCATTATTTTAGGGGAAATTGTGTACACTTTCTAGGCAGAATATAATAAATGCACCATTCAATCAACAAAAAATACAGTACTGAACTGTATCACTAATACAGTAGTACTGCACCAAAAACAGAAATACACCCAGAAAATTATACCAACAATAAGTGTTTGATGGGTTAAACATTAAATAATAAGCTTTTAATAGTGATAATGTTTGTCAGTTATAATCTTTCAGTGAGAACTACTGTCCTACGGAAAACCTGCACTGGTGAGCATGCCGCTGCTATACTGAGTTCAGGGTCATCAGCACCACCCTATAACAATACCATTGATAATATTACTGATCTGTTGTTGTTTTCAAGGTGTGTGTGTGAGAAACATTCCTGTGAGACTTATCTTCTTTTGGTGCAACACATTTTCCACCTTGAGCACCAAGACAAGTTTGGGTCAGTAAGGTTGCATCTTAATAATTTTTTCAATGGATTACCAACCATGTTTGCAATGTCCTAAAGAGATATCCACCACTTGTACCTGATAGGGGAAGAATGAACTATGCATTTCACAAAGAAAACGTGTTTGATTGATGATGGCACTTATCCCATTCTGGCGCTGCACGACTCATATACAGTAGTAGTATATAATGAAGATACTTTAGTGATTAAGTGAACACAAAATAAATACATAATATCTAAACTAATTATGAGTAACTTGTGCATGACTAGTGACCTGTTCCCATCAAGACTATTAGACAATACAGAGTACATGAGACTTTGTCTTCCAACTAAAACAACTTCTTAAAATTTACAGTAGGCTAAGCAGGGTGATTACAAATAAATTTTCCATAGAAACTGTCATACATAATTCTTTACTATTTTTAAGTGCCATTTTAAGAACACAACTTCACCACTTCACAGTTCAGTCTCACCCCAACATACATCACTACACCACCAGTATCAGTACAGTAACTTATAAACTCTTACAGAATAACTTATACACTCTAAGCAACACTACTACCCCACCACAGACCTCATATCTGTCTTTCACTCATAGTTTACACATACAATACTGTCCTGCCAATCTTACATAAGAGCACTGGTTTTCTTTTAAATCATCCCACTAATAGTTGAGATTCATCTAGAATATGGAACAAATGCACATCTTGTCCAAGAGAGGTGCCACTGGTAAACAGAACAGGATTAAAAGAAGTTATAAAATAAATTTATTACTATACCATACCTTGTTCCAGGGGATGTTCACATTATATCCCTTCCCTTCCTTGGTGCCTACTCTGTTATAGTTGCCCTCAGAGCTGGCCGGGAAGAACTTTCCATTGTCATAGCGGTGGACAGATATATACAAGACTTGTGGGTCGGACTCAAACATTTGCTGGATTCCATTACCATGATGGACATCCCAGTCCAAGATCAAGACTCTGGAAGATACAAAAAGCAAAATTATTACCTCAAGTGAAGGCAGTACATATTCGTATTAACATTTATGTAGAAACATAATTTTAGAGTTGGATGTTTACATCTACTGTACTTTATCATTTCAAATTACAAGTTCTTGTTGTATAGTCTGAAAGCTTGATCTTCTACTTCAACATGACATGTCAAGTTGTACTGATGAAGCATCAAGGTAATTAATATTAACTAACCTTTGTAGACCATGGGTGTTAATGGCATGTTTGGCAGCAATGGCTACATTGTTGTAAAAGCAGAAACCACAAGCATTGTCCCTCTCTGCATGGTGGCCAGGGGGACGCACTACTGCCATGCCACGTTGACTCTCACCGGACATAACACTGTCCACAACCTAATGATGGAAATTTCACTTCACTAAGGTTACACCTAAGCCCAAAATATATTTAAGTACAGGTTGTACCTCTCTAGTCCGGCAACCTCGGGACCTGACCGGTGCCGGATCATGGAAATTTCCGGACCATGGAAATTCACCCTTTTCCTGGATAGATAGTGACTTGTGCTTACGCTTGGAAGCACTAGCACCACTTTCTCTGCATCATGGTCTCTTTGAAGACATATTGAAGGGTTAAATGTCATATAGTAGCTTCTCAAAATTCACGAGTTTTTAATTCAACAAATTTTATTGGAAAAAAAAAAAAAAAATAAAAATAAATAAATAAAAATTTTGACGGCGGAAACTTGAATTTCGACGGGTTTGAACGGCCCGCCAACGTGCAGACGACGTGCATAATCGTGTAAACAGCGTCATTTCTCTTATGTACAAAAGATTCATTATTGTTTATTACTGAATGTCTTTTTGATTGAATTAATGTTTATGTGTGCAAAATGAGCAATACAATTCATTAATAATACGTAGAATATTAAAACACGAGGAAATGACACAGCATTGTTTTCGTTGATTACAAAACCAGTGACTGAATGTTTCTACATATAAAACTGAAGAAAATAAGACCTTGGTTGTAGCTGTAGTAAAATTAATATGGTTGTTTGAAGTAATGTTTTTTAATGTTAATAAATGGAACAATAGAAGTAGCTAACGATAATGGTAAAGAAAAAAGAGAGATCACGTATGTAAGTGTGCACACGTGAAAACATACGTGAAAACATATCGTCATTACTTTACATAAGAATATGAAAGCAACACTTATTTACTGTTCATATATATTTTAATTAATGCTTCTGAATTTGTTTATATTGAATTAATGTTTGTGTGTGCAAAATTAAGAATACAATTTATTAATAATACGTGGAATATTAAAACACACGAGGAGACGAGACGGCTGCTGGCATTGTTTTTGTTAAAGCTTACAAAACCAGTGACTGATTGGTTCTGCATATAAAACTGAAGAAAATAAGACCCTGATTGTAGCTGTAGTAAAATTAATGTAAAAAAATTAATATGGTTGTTTGAAGTACCTGTAATGTTATTTAGTGTTAATAAATGGAACAATATTAGTAGTGAAGCTGCCTATCTACCTATTGGACAAACTAAAATCGTTCCGGACCACGGGAGTTTCCGGACCACAGAATGCCGGACTAGAGAGAGGTACAACCTGTATAAGTAAATCACTAGTCTTCTCCTTACCATATCTATAATAAGGCAACTAAGTTAAACAGCTCATGTCTATCAACCAAGAAAGGATGGAAAATAACAGAGAAGTGATCCAGTCCATCACCAAGACAATCATCTAATGTGGAAAGCAGGGATTGGCACTGAGAGGACAGAGATGATGACACTGAAGAATCAGGAAACAAGAGGAACTTCCAAGCTCTCCTTAATTTCCAAGTAGAAGCAGGAGATAAAGTGCTGAGTGAGTATGTACTTCAAGAGGTGCTCCTACAATGATACCTACCACTCCAAGATCATCCAAAATGAACTTATAAATATATTTGGTCAATAATTCAGAAAGAAATCACAGAGGAGGTTCAGGAAAGTGGTAGCATATTCCCTGTGATAGCAGACGAGGCTGCTGATGAAAGTAATAATGTGCAGCTGCCATTGGTTATCAGACATGCTGATGGTGGCAGACAGATCAGGGAGGAGTTTGTGGGGTACTGTATTATGAATGCAAGTCAGTTTCAGGAGAGGCCATTGCAAGTACATGTATAATAAAAACAGCAATATCTGACCTTGGGCTTGACTTAAACGTGTGTCGGCCAAGGATATGATGGGGCAGGGAATATGGCAGGACCTTGCAAAGGTGCTACTGCAAGGATTATGGCAGATCATCCACTTGCAAAGTACAGTATAGTCTGCATTTACGCGGTCAATTGAACCCGTGGAGGTCCGCGTAAAATGAGAAATGCGTAAACGAAAGAACAGAACATATGGGATTAATTGAAATAGAGACTGGGCCGACCCTCAAACTACACATTTTCCGACACAATACCTACGTTGTAGTAAAAATAACATCTTAATTTTATGATGGTATGCACACACAATTAATATTTAAGAGAAATATCAATAATATTAGGGTTTTTAACACTTACGTTAGTAGAAAAGATGGCTGGGCACACGGGGATAGGGGGTTGGTTCCGAGGCAGAGGGCAGATTATTGGCCCTCACCTGTATCACTTGTATCACTATCCACCACAGAGGCTTGCAGGACCTCTTTGTCAAACCCCTCAAAGTCCATATCACTATCACTGACTTGGGCCGGCTGTGGTGGGTGAAGAACTCGGTAATGTTTTGACGACTGGGCGACCTTGTGTGCACCCTGCCCGCGCCGCTTCCAGCGTAAATAATGAAATTTACAGCGTAATTAAAACATTTCATTCTGGCAAGGCACCGCGTAAATGACCAAACGTGTAAACAAACTCCACGTAAATCCAGACTACAGTAGTACCCGATTTACCGCGTAAAGTGAACAACAGAACATATGGGATTAATTCCAAGAGAGACTGGCCCGACCCCCAAACTCCACTTTTTCCGACACAATACCCATGTTGTAGTAAAAATAACATCTAAATTTTATGATAGTATGCTCACACAATTAATATTTAAGAGAAATACAGTCGCCAGGTTAATGTCCATTCAAATAATGGACTCAAATCCCCCCACCCCCCTCTTTCCAGCTCACTAGCTCCTACCTCTCTGAGAAATGTTTGGGTGAAACCACTAGATTTTAACGTTTAGTAATAAATAATACCTCAGACTAAAGTTAGGATAATATAATTGACATTTCTGGATTCCTTGCAGGTCAGGGAATATTTTGAATGTAAACTTCATATATTTTGCACAAAGATAAAATATTTGCTTTGTGTAAACCAAATTATTACATTAGATCTAAAATTTGTATGTCTAATGCAAAATCCATGATGTTTATATTCAAAATGATCATCATATTGTAAGAATTCCAGCAATGTAAATTATATTCTGGCCGAGTAATTTGTATGAATTTTATGAGCTAAAACAAATATCTTCAGGTAATAAAAAAAAAAAATATTCTTCACGACACTATCTGTCAATCAAAGTACCCCACCTTGCCTCCCCCCCTCCTCACACTCACGCCAGCTGGGGTCGGTCCCAACCCTCCCACCCCCACCTTCCCTCCCTACCAGAGAAATGTTTGGGTGAAAAAACTAGATTTTAACTTTTAGTAATAAATAATACCTCAGACTAAAGTTAGGATAATATAATTGACATTTCTGGATTCCTTGCAGGTCAGGGAATATTTTGAATGTAAACTTCATATATTTTGCACAAAAGATAAAATATTTGCTTTGTGTAAACCTAATTATTACATTAGATCTAAAATTTGTATGTCTAATGCAAAATCCATGATGTTTATATTCAAAATGATCATCATATTGTAAGAATTCAAGCAATGTAAATTATATTCTGGCCGGGTAATTTGTATGAATTTTATGAGCTAAAACAAATATTCTTCAAGGACACTATCTGTCAATCAAAATACCCCACCTCCGCCCTCCCTCCCTTCCTACCCCCCACCTTCCCTCCCTACCAGAGAAGCGATAAGGAGAAAATAGTATATTTACATTTTTAGTAATAAATAATAACCCAGACTAAAGTTAGGATAATATAATTGACATTTCTGGATTCCTTGCAGGTCAGGGAATATTTTGAATGTAAACTTCATATATTTTGCACAAACGATAAAATATTTGCTTTGTGTAAACCAAATTATTACATTAGATCTAAAATTTTTAAGTCTAATGCAAAATCCATGATGTTTATATTCAAAATGATCATCATACTGTAAGAATTCCAGCAATGTAAATTATATTCTGGCAGGGTAATTTGTATGAATTTTATGAGCTAAATAAAAAAAAAAATAAAAAAAAATTATACTTCACCGCGTATATGAGTAGATGCACCGTGGAAAAAAGTGAAAGTCCGGTTCTGGCGAGGTACCAAGTAAATGAGAAACCGCGGAAAGTGAAACCGTGTAAAGCGGGGTAATACCGTATACTGTACAGTATTTCCATTGTACAGCTCACGAGTTAAACCTATGTGGTGAATACCTCCAGTCAGCAGGTTATTAAAAACACAATGGACACTTTGGGAGAATAAGCAAGATTTTCAGCTAACAACAAAGATCCAGATGTTTTGAAAGCCTACTAAGATACAGTATACAGATTGTAGGTGATGCAGTAAAGGAAATGCGGGAAAATAAAGAGGAAACCCATAATGAGGTTTATAACAAGGCAGTTGATCATGCTACCCTTCTTAATATACCAGTAGACTGTACCAGGACCTACAGTCACCAAAAGAATAGAGCTAATGCACCAGAGAACTATTACAAAGTAAATGTAACCATTCCATTCTTGGACCACTTGAGTCAGGAGCTTCAGATCCACTTTAATGATGGCCAACAGAACATGGTTCAGGGATGGGCAGCCATTCCTGGGATGATGAAAAAAGCTTCCGGACTGAAAAGCTTAATTCAAGCAGTTCTACAAAACATATAAAGAGATACTTCCCAAATACAGGATGTTGGATGCTGACATGCTTTATCTGCAGGACCCATATGCACTTTATATATTATGTATATTTATATATATGCAAAGATGTCTAGTCACCTTACACTGAAAGAGACTCAGGAGCCTGCTTCTCACTGGACTGGCACTGCATCATTATGGCTTGCAGTTGAAACTAGCTGTATGGCACTTGAAATACAGAATTGCAATGTACCAGCATCCATTTATTGTAATGTATTTCCCAGGCACAAAGGAAATGTGTATTTGATAGAAAAACAAACAGTGTAAAAATGCATAAAATTGAACCCTTTTGCTGCAATTCCCGCACTTGCCATTTTATTCTGGCTACTGCCAGATGATTTTATTCATCTTAGGGTGACCTCCCGCAGCTAAAGGGTTAATAGAGGAAAATTGGAGGCTCAACACCCACTAATTTTATTTTATCTGGCCCTGTCTGGAAGTCGGTCAGTTTTAGGGGCTAGATTCCCCCGAAAAGATACACATATTCTTGGCCCTCCCTGAACATTATATCCATGAGTACAGAAACATTAATTCATGAACTATAAACCTGTCATGTAGATAATAAAGTAGGATATTCATTAGATAAATAAAAGCAGGTGAGAAAACCTCAAAAATTAAAGAGCATCAGTTACCGCTACTAGGGAGCCGGCAGCCATAAGAGCTGCATTATTGGTGCGACGGTGGAGGTAGATGGATTCAAGTTTGTTTTCAGCGCTGAGAAGCTCTTGAGGTTTCTTAGTCATGAGGGATGACATGAACTTGATGTGCTTGGAGCTGTGTACACTCTCCAGATCACTCACTGTTGCTTTCCTTGCCTACAATGAAGGTGAAGAAAAATGAATGAATTAGGATAAAATTCTCAAATCTGTGCATAAAACCTCATCGTGTGTGTGTGTGTGTGTGTGATATTTTCAACCAAAACCTCTGAGGTAACCCCCAAGACTACCAGATCTAGCACCCAAGTAAACAATCTGTGAGTAACTAAATGTTAAATATATGTAAGCATAAGAAGCTTACAATAATGGAGTGCTTTCCTATACAACTATCCCAGTAATGTATAGGGCATTAATGTACTGTGACTCTCTATTGATGTTGAAGAATAAAACCACTAAATATTATAAATAACTTCCCGCACTGTACAGTAATCCTTATTATTGCTAACTACAGTATCCTCCTGTAAGTACTGTAGCATGTAAGACTAGGGGCCTGTGTGAGAAAATGGCTACCCTTAACAAGTATCCTGTATTCATATCAATAATATATGTACTTTACGTATGTGATTTTAACACTGCATAAAACAAGATTTCATTACAATACCTGCACTTGTGAATCATAAACCAAGTGTTTGAGTAGTGTTGCTGTGGAAAATAAATTTACCGGAAGGGGGAGGATTTTCTGACATAGCCCTTTGAATCAAGAAATGGAATACAAGTATAACTATTGGTAAGATCTCGGCACAATAGTGGCTCACAGTTTATTAATACTGCTGTCAAGAGAAGCGGACCTTCCGACAAAATGTTTTTTATACATCAACTGTATAAACTGAGGCTATTACTGTACCTTGATTCTATGACAGCGGCCAACCACACCAAACTCCTGCAGACGCTGATAGATGCAGCTTATTCTCTCTGGCCTCTCAGGATGAGTTTCATCTTTGTAGTTGAAGTGTTCCATCATGGAGTCATCATACACAAGACACACAGTGTATTTGGGGCTTGGGATACTCTCACCTGGGAAGTAAATATACAGTACTGTTATTTCTGCTGGCTTCAGCTACATGGTTCTGGCATTTGCTGCCTTCAGCACCTTCACTCAGCACTGAGTGCAGCTGCCTTCAGCACCTCCACTCAGCACTGAGTGCCTCCCAGCCCTTCAACCGATGTGCTGTCTACGAGTGTCACCTTACCAAACAAATATAAATCTCTCGGCCTACGACAACGTATGCCGTAACCTCCCTTGAAATAGTTTAGTTATGAGAGTATTGAAGTTGTAAGAGAGGGGAGAGGAAAGAGCCGAGAGGATGTTTTACAGCCGAGCAGTCCTGGTTTCTGCTGAGTAGACAGTTCTGCAGGTGGTGGTGACTGTCTAGCCTTCCCTAATGCCCAGACCACCCTTTACAGCCATACTGTGAGCATCTCCACCCTCTGCTGGCAGTAGTGAACACACCAACTCACAATCCTGTCCCTGAGTTTTGTGCCGAGACAATTTACACAGTACTGTTGTCTCTTGGAACACCATACTGATTTACATCGACCCGCACTTGTAAGTACAGCCCATGTGATGACGTACCCTTCAGTACTCATATATTGTGGACTAATTATGCCTACTTATTTCTGCCTTATCTGAAGCAATAAGACAATGTGAAATGAAAAAAACTAAGAAAAATAGAGTTATGTACTTTGTATTATGACACTATGTTTAATGATCTTATGTAGTTAAGATAAAATTGTGTGAGACTAAGAAATTATGTATCAGATGGATGATCATGTAATACTAATGAACGCCTTCTCCTCTGCAGGAGTGCGTCAAAAGGCGGGTTTCAATCATTCCCTTCAACTTGACCGTCCTTAACCAAGGCGGTCACATATACAGTACTGTACATAACCTCATTTTTTCTCCCTACAAAATCAGGGTGATATTTATTACGATATAATTTATTTCATTTCATATCTATTATATATTTAACATCATTCACTCGATCATTTGATAGTTTATTCTTCTTGATACAAATCCTGAATGAGACAGTTCACAAACTGCTTTTTGACAAAATTATGGTCAAATTTGTCCCGACAAACAAATTTTCAATTATAAGTAACATCTCTGTTAGCCAGAATCCCTCTTAAACGGAACTCTCTGATAGCCGAAATTGAAAGTCGCTCATAATTTTCCATAAAATTCTGGGTTTTGGAATGATTTTCCGAGGGGCGCATTTCCTGGACAAATTTGATACAAATTTCCCGGCACTCAGAAAACTCCGGGGATGGGGGATTGTTTTCTGACTTTGAACTACTGTGTCAATCTTGAAAATTTTGGTGCCCAGAAATATTCCAGCTTCTCATTCATCTGCCATTACAAGCAACCATTTTTACTTTCATAACCTCATATTAAAAACTTTAATTCTCTCAATATCATTTACATTCATACTCCTTTATTGTTCACCACACTATTCTGGCCTATATACTGTATATCTAATATATAGTTTAATACATAAAACAAAATACCCTTGAATGATATACAGGTACTCCTCGACTTACGACCACCCGGACATACGACCGCCGCAGTCGTATAAAATATTTTCCAAATTACGTATTTTCGAGTCCCAACGTTAGTGATCGCGAGGTTTACTCACAAAATTTTAGTTTGCAATTCCCTTTAAAATGGCTGGCAAGCGTAAAAGTGAGAGTTCTCGTGGTGCTGAGAAGAAAAAGAGACACCCATTTTAGATTTTCTACGTACTATTTTCACATTTTCGACTTACGACCTAGTCGTCGGTCCCTAACCCCGTCGTAAGTCGAGGACTGACTGTACAGTATACTGTTTAGAGTAAAGAAGAAACTTACTAAATTAACTTATAGAAACAGAAATAACTATACTTTACCAAGTTTTTGAAGGTGGTGGGAGTAAGGGTGCTTAAGTGGCTTAATGACAGGAGAAGAATCCACTTTTGGTTTATAAGAGATGAGTGAAGTTTGAGCATGATATCTTATACTGTCCCAGTTAGTTTTCTGTGCTGTCATGACCTCAGTTATAGCTTTCTTTACTTCTGGTGAAGGATCATTCAATGGCATTGGCATAGGTTCAGACGGTTTATCCAGGAGTGTGCGTAAAGTAGCTGCCACTCCTTCTGCCATGGCTTCTTTGCATTTCCCAGCCTCCAGCACCACTGCCAGACGACCCTGTGCTATGGGCATGAGCATAGCCGTCAGATGTGAGTAGATTCCTGGGTGAATGTTTTCAGAATGCAATGCTAATTCAAAACCAGCAGAGACAATGACCAGTTCTGGAGAAAATTCATAGGCTACTGGTAACAACACTTGGTGGAAGACTGAATAGTAATCTTCATTCTGAAAGACATGGCAGTTAAGTTTAACATTAAAATTATAGCCATGGCCTTCAAGGATTCCTGTTTTATTTTTATCACCTTCCTCTGGGTCCTGGCTACTGTGCAGGAGTACAGAAAATACCAAGACTCTTGGATCACTGTAGAAGATGTGTTGAGTGCCAATCCCATGTTGACCATCCCAGTCAACTATTAACACCCGACTAAGGCCCAAGTTATCTAACGCATACCGGGCTGCTATGGCTGTGTTATTCAAATAGCCACTGGGAGGTGTACTACTGCCTGACACCAAGTGACCTGAAGGTATTATAATAGCAATACCATTCTGAGCTTTGCCTGATACTATTTCCTGCACCAACTCAACAGTACTTCCTGCAGCTGTCAGGATATCATCACCATCTACTGGATGGTAAATACACTTTCTTGTTCCTCTTGGAATAGCCTTTAGCCTTTCTTCACCATGGACTGCCAATATCTCTGCCTCAGTGGCTGGTCTTGGCTTAAGTCTAGTACACTTCTCCAACAATTTCAGTTCTTTACAGCGCTCAATGATGGCTTTTATGATTCCAGGACCTTGCATATACTCCACACAACAAACATTACAATAATCCTCGTTAGATATGACTGCAGTTGGACCTTTCAACATATCAACACTGGCAGCAGCAGCACGGAGCGCTCCATCACTTCGAGGTCTGCCAGGACGCGTAGGAGTCAATGGAAAATTGCTCCGTTCAGGATTGGGTGGCACCTCTTGTCTCTCAGATCTTCTTCTCACCTTTTTACACTGTTCTTTTATTTGTGGTGGTGCCTCAAGAGCTTTGCCTGCTGGAGAAGAACCTGTTTTATTCTTTGTGCCAATCTTCTTTTTTTTTCCTGAGGGGTTTGCTTCATCCTGTGGTTGTGCTGTCACAGAAAATTGTGTGCAAGAATCAACTTGCATTTCACTTGTACAAATTCTAGTCTCACTTTCACCACACGCCATTGGAGCAGCTCTTCCAGGTCCAGTAAGTCTAAACGCATTTGACTTTCCTGGGGAGGAAGGAGCAGAGATATATGGAGGGGAATTTGTGGATGGAGTTGAAACAGGAGAAGAAGTGCAGGAAGATGCTTCTGAGCCTGATGCTCCAGACTCTACAGCTTGAGGTCCTCCCCCAAACCCTTGACAAAGTACATCTTCTACTGGAAGATCAACCTGGAGAGAAGGACAAAAGTAGTTTATGTATAAGCCAAAAGTTAGTAAAACTTTATACATTCATCAGAATTTTTTTTATACAGTATACCATGCTCTCCACTCATCTACTGTATTCACAAAACTGTACTGTTTTCTGGATCCCTATCCCCCTCCTTCACCCCATTCTTCTCCCCTCCATCTTAGTAACTAACTCTAAATTATTCTCATTCTACCAATATTTCACTTTTCATTCTCTCAATATGCCCATACCACCTAAACACACATCCTGATCTGCTTTCTTCCTAACATTCCTTTAATTTCAACATCTCCTTATTTCTGTATTCTAATTTATATCTTCCTCCTCCATCATCATCACTGTTTTATAACCTTTTCCCATGACAGTGTAGGTTAGCGGTGATTACCTGATCGCAGCTCTCCAAGCAACACGGTCGGTTGAAATCTCTCATTGTGTTTTTTGAGGTAATTTCTCACCTCTCCCTATGGAATTCTTGGCTTACCCCTAGCTATCCCCTCCTTCACATTCTAAGTCAAGTATCTCTTAACCCAACTGGTTTTCTCCATATGCCTGAACCATCTTAGCTTACTTCTGCACAAAACCTCACCAATACTCTCATATCCAGCTGCCATCTCAGCTATGAACAGGGTTTCCTCTTTCTCAATGTTAAGTTACACATCCATTGTCAAGGTAATGTTTGGTGTTGGGTATCAATCAGAGCAAAATGTCCCCCCACTACAAACCCACTGACAACCCAGATACCATAGCAAAAGCAGTACATTAACCTCACAGTGACCCACCAGCTTCAGGGACACTTTTCCATGTGCAACATGACATCAAAGCTGACTGCAGTATTTTGTGCACTAGATGAGAGAGCAGCTTCTCAGGGTGCCACCCCTGAGTTCAGGCAGCAAAGTCGATTATTCAAAATTTACCCCTATATAATAATGTTAGATCAACAATTCTCCTGTACATCCCCATTTTGTCAGAAATATCCTGCAGTCTGACATTTACACCACTGCACCTTTTGTGTAACCACTTTTTACACTGACTGCACTTTACTGAGTTACTGCCAACACCTTTCTGATAGACAGCAAATGGCCATTTTCCATCACAGGTCTTTCACCCATGCTACCAACAGTTACAGTACTTCTGTTTTCATCACGTTCATTCTTATATCCGTGACTCTATTCCGTTCTTCCTTTCTTCACTACCTCTCCAATACTCTCTGCTATTAACATTATGTCATCAGAATACAACTCCCAGGGAAGACCAGTCCTAAAATCTTGCATTAGTGTCTCTCACATGATCAATAGAAAAGGGCCCAAGATGGACCCTCAATAGACTTACTGTATACTTTCAACTGAAACTCCACATTTTCTTTGGGAAGGTATGGAGTGAAGTGGTCAAATAGATACAACACTCGCCTCCTGTCGTAAGGGTTGGTGGTTCAATACTGAGGTGTTCCCAGGTCACCCAGGATTAAATGGGTATGTGAAGGCTGCTGAGCACAGTGCTGGCCATGCTGCCTCCTGTGTACTGAAGGCTTAGTATAGTGTGCTGTATCCACACTGTCCTTAATGGACTGTCATGCCCATGGGACCCACTTTCACTTTTCATGGGAGGGGTAATAGTTTACTTTAGTTGTGAGGTCTTTCTCATCTTTCCCTCTATCTTGCTCCAATTGCTGAGGCTCCTTCAAATTTGTTACCCTGTTTCAATATCTCAGCTGGTACAACACGAGTACTCCAGGCCTTTTCCATCATGGTGGCTGTGGTATTATGCACCTTTTTAAATTTGGCAAAACAAAATCAAGGAGACCCAACCTAATCAACTGAAATATACCTAACTGAAGTGTTATAAAAATAAAAGTAGGTTAAGTTAGGCTTGGATGGTTTATTTAGCCTGTTTTAAAAGATGGAAATATATTAAGTCTGTGTCCAACAAGAGATAAAAACTTGCCTTTCTTCATTAACAGTAGAGTATACTGTACACTGAGATACTAAAATGGGGATAACAGTTTTCCTCTAAGAGATAACATGAAGAATAAGAAATAGGAGCACACTGCTAAAGTAAGCTATTACCCACCCAGAGAAGAGATTCTATATATATATGATGCCAAAAGCTGAGTTAATGGTGTCCGTATGCAGTAGAAGTCTTATATTATTCTGGCAAGGCAATTTGTTGTTCCTCAGTAAGATCCATATTCTTTCAACTTATCATATTATCATAAACAAGTCTACCCATCATATTTGCAATTTACCCCTGAAAAATGGTCTATACCTGTACAGTATATGGAAATTTTGTATGCACAGTACTGTACTAACAATGCATAGCAGCTGAGTGTGGTGGCAATCTTATGATGATTACCACAAAAATACTCAGTCAAACAATTACTTCTTTCATTCCCTGCATAAAGTACATATTCTTTCTTTCTTACACACACACACACACACACAAAAGTACAGTATTTTCATCTAATAAACTTGAGACAATACAAGTGTTTTTTGCAATTTTATAACTGGTCAAATATTGAGAACAATCATCCAATGTGTGTAATTTCCAAGTTACTTTGCACTCTTTCACAGTTTCAAGATAACTGACATTCTAAAATTTCACCACACTCTGCTAGTAGGAAACAATTTCGAAGTCACAGAAAACCAAGTAACAGCCTGACAGATCTTATAGTGGACATACAAATACTGTATATTTTTAACATCACAATTATTTATCTAAGTGGTCGACTACTGTACTGGTAACAAGAAAAGCTTGTAATTTGATATGATGATAAGTGTGACACAATGCTTTAAACATGGAACAGCTGACAATATGACATATAAACACTAGGAGGCAATTTATCTGTTTGAGTTTAGGAAATGCTTTGTCTTGAAGTGTGTTAGTGGTTCACCTACTGAAGATCATCTATGGCTCCAAAATGACATACCGTACCTACTACCTACAGTGCCTCGTGTTGCTGCACTGAGCCCTCAACTCAACAGATTACCATGTGTCACTAAAATGCTCAATTACTGATGCTTGTAAATATTTAAATACAGTTCTAAAAAATTTCTGGCATTTGTTTAGTATTCTTTTATACCACAACTAATTTCTGGAGAACAATTCAGTATATAAAAACGAATTACTGTATATTATCTAATTTCTCCAAAAGTCAGGCTGTTTGTAGAGCATCTTATGAAAAAGTGATAATGCCTTGTTAATGGCTTTCTAGGTTTTTTTATTTTCTTGTAATATGTCTCAACAATATTCTTAAAAGGTGGTTACCTTTCTTTTCACTAACTAAACATATTATTTTAATGTATTGCCACAGTTTCCTCTTATTGAGTAGTTCACATCTCAACACCAGCAGCATAGGTGGATACATAACTGATCATAGTTTTCTTCTGTTTTTCATTGGTGCTAAACATGGCACAACTAGCAGGAACAAACCACTCACAGCTATGATGGATCTTTAAGTATGACATGTCAACAACCAAACAAAACAAAATGCACTGAGCTAGTGGCTGCTGCTCAAGATGTGATATAAGATGTAAACACACTGGCAACCTTAGTGGTAGCTGATGGTTGAATAAAACTTTTGCTGTCACTTGGCACTCTGCTACTCACTATGCAGTAGTTACGGCATGATAACAAAAATAAATGTCCACCAAAGAACAGCCATAATGCCACCGAACAAGATACAATAAATCACAATTCATCAAGTATTATCTGTGTTACTCTTTCCTTCTGCTGCTGTGTGGTTCAACTCATTGCTCATTCTTCCACTTACTGACCCAAATGAATGCTAAAGTAAATAAATAAAAACAGCCAAGAACTCACCTGGAAACACAGGGCAGACCAATATTGTGACTGAGTCCTGATAACATCATTGATGGTTTGCACAGCACCCTTGTTTGGAACCAGTGATGCATCCAGCATTGGCAGGGGGTCACCTAGAAGTGCCTTGGCACACATGGTCATGCAGTAGCTGATGGTGTTGAGGTTATAGCCACCTTCCAGTGCCAGCACAATGCGGCCACCAGCTAGACTTGACAGTAGGCGTGTCATGTGGCCATAACACTCCGGGGTGACACGACAGCCTGTATGTTATATACAGATTATTAATAAATTTCTTGACATAGTATAAATTATGATTTATTGTCTCATTTTGAGAAGACTGGCCTAGTAACCTAATCTTTGTGAAATTCTGTTTTGTGGCTTAGATGAGAAAAGAACATAACCCATGAAGTTATCAGTACTCTTACTAGCCATAAAAAATGATGTGAATAACAATACAAATGGTTAAATTTACTGTATGATGGTTTGTTATGCAACCATTGATACTAAATACAGTATTGATATAATGAGAGTAACAATGAATTAACCATAAACCATGCTAGTTGAGGCGGATCAAACAGTTCCCTCAGTCTAAGTTCAGTGAGCAGTGAGTGATGCAGATAACAAGATGGGTTGAACACTCCACAAAAGTATGGTTACATCGTACCTCCAAGTGGGTCTCCCCGGGCAGCATCAAAGCCAGCTGAAACCAGGACCAACTGGGGGTCATACTGGTAGGCTATGGGCAGCACCACCTGTAGCATGGCTGATATGTATTCTGCATCTCCCAAACCACTCTGAAATTTATTGATGATGTATTTAAAACTTAAAAGCTTCTTTATGTGTTATAGTAATGAAGTGGTATACTAAATATAAGCTTTGGAAATTTAAATCCTTTCAAAAGTTACTTTATAAATATTTATGACATTTACCAAATATATCACAACTGCAGCTGACAAAATTATCTATATGTAACAAGAACATTCAACTTAAGGTGACTGTATGAGTTATTGCAGGTGACCCATTAGACATTTTGGTACTAACAATTATAATAATGATGGTATTAATACTGATAAGTGGTAAGTGTTCGTATTCCTAAAGTTAATTATCAGTTAAAACTGTAGGTATATAATTCTTTATAGTACAAATACAGTACAGTAAACATGAAGATATACAGAGAGCAAGCTGGTGAAACATTACTAGCTTATGTAAAACTTGGTACAATCACTAGAACAGTCAACAGTGCACAGATATAAATAGCCTTTAATTTCTCTTACCATACATATGTGAAAAAAAGACGAAAAACCCAGTCATCCCTTAACAGGTTATCTTTGTAACACAGTAATCCCTTAACAAGTCATCTTTGTAACACAGTAATCCCTTAACAAGTCCCAGCAAAAATCCAAAGGGCTTGCCCACCACGAGTCAGCTTGAGCAGCCATCTTGAAGAGATGCACAGAGACGTATTCTTGCTGACTGATCATAAACACCCCCCTCATCCCCAGGCCCACGTCTTTCAATCCACCATTCGTCATATGGGATGTGCTCATTTTTTAATCTATCTGTATTTGTGCTATCCTTTCATTATTTTGTTCAACATGGCATCCAAGCATTGTGCTGACTCTTCAGCTACTCGTACTACACTGAAGAAAATGCGTAAGGCGGTGACGCTTAAGACAAAGCTGGAGGTAATAAAATGTCATGAATGTGGCGAGGGCCCTACTCAGATCAGGAAAGATCTTGGTCTGTCTCCAAACCACAGACAACAACTGCATCTTCAACTTCCAGTCCCACTCCCTCCACCAGTGATGAGGTGGACAGCCCACCCCACCTCACCCCTTCTGGTGAGCCCTGATTGCCCCCCTAAAGGTATGTATCAAAGTTTTACTATATTTTATTAACTTTTTTTTAATGTGTTAGGTTAATAAATTACAGTAGTTGGGAACTATTTTTCATTAGTTAGGTCAGTTTTTGTTGTTCGTGAACCAATTTCACGTTTATGGAGCACAGTATATTGTTGGGGTTTTCTTGTCATTGGGGAACCAAACCCCTTTTTTCCCATATGTTCTATTATTCGCAATATGAAAATTCACCAAATGAATGGTTTTCAAAGAACCTAACCATTTGTTAAGTGAGGGATACCTGTACTGGTTGTTCCAACATAAATATTCAGTTTACAAGTATTGCCCCTTAATGTACAGCAGTAAAAAATGGCTTGAAAACAGTGATAATAATAATGAGTATGTAAACATTCCCAAACAAAGACAGTGCACTGTGTTCTTTTATTAACACTTACTATGTAATTTTTTTATTTAAAATTTTTAAGCTGATGGTACTAGGCTAAGAAGCCACTCCCTTTGTAACTTATTGGCATTAAAGTGAGCCAGAAATGGGTATCCTTAACAGTTATATATGGATGTATTTGCAATATACTGTATCAATATCAATCGATTATGTATGAGCCAATGATGTACAAGGGGAGCAGGGATTCTTAGCCTAGTACTGCCAGCTTAAAAAAATAAATAAATAAACAAAATACAGATAAATACACAAGATGCAGAAAATAATACTGCCTACACATGAGAATTTACTCAACTTTTCCTCCATGCCTATTGGTTTCCTGTCATGGTTACTGTATTTGTTCGTTCAGGGGCCTTCGAGAGAATTGGTCATAATGCATTTACAAGCAACTTATCATGTTACCTTGGGGATGTATTACCATTTATTTTCTGCATTACATCAAAATACATTAAATGCGAGTACTGTATTACAGACAGTGATTACTGTATTGCATTAAGACAACAAATAACTAAAAATGAAGTGTATGTGTTTGTCAAGGGTGTTTTCATGACTCTGACTATCCTGTACGATAGCACAGAGTGATTACATTACATGACAAAATTTTAATACGTACAAGCAGACCTCTTATAGCAGAGCCTTGCCTAACACTTTCATTTATGCATGTGAAATTTTTTTTTTAATATAATATAGTACCATAGAACCAATAAAACGTAAACAAACCACCGAACATGTCAGCAGCCATCTTTGTTTACATCATCTCAGCCAATCAGTGGTTATCTAATCAACGTGTATAGCTCGCCAAAACTCACACTGGTTCTGTCTCTGTATGCTCTCTTTTTTCATATCGTCCTGCACGTGTTAAGTGAATGTTTTAGGCCCATCATGTCTAAAAAACAGTCTGCAAGTGAGAGTGTTGGTAAAGCAGCCAAGGTGACCAGGAAAATCATTTGTTTGGATGTGAAAATGCAAGTGATATGGAGGGTTGAGGCAAACGTGTGTCAGTCGCTTAGCTTAGCTTTCTCTACTATTGTAAAAAGTGTTTTATCGATAAAAAGCCATAATTACATCTACAAAGCCATTACTGTTACCCAAGGATGCCTTCCTGTAGCAATTACTGTATAGGGAACTAATGGACACTCCTCAGGAACATATTTTGTCTGTTATAAGACATTTGCCTGTGTGCAAACAAACACACACACACACCTGTTTGTTTATATATATATATATATATATATATATATATATATATATATATATATATATATATATATATATATATATATATATATATATATATATATATATATATATATATATATATATATATAAGCCCTTTCCTGGTTAATGAAGGGTTGCTGGGCAGATACTAGACCAGATACACACACATTTTAATATTTTCACTACAAGTCCTGAGTTAAAGTAACAGTTTACTGTGTTGTTACTCTACAAATCAGCTTCAGTGGTTACAGGTCCCTTGATGGAGCCCCAAAACATGGGTATGCCCCAAGGTTAGGGCTCCCATGATAGAACTACAGTACTGCATTGCCACTCCTTCAGTTTTAGCTTCCAAGTGTGGTCCACTGGCACTACTTACCACTGGTCTCTCCTGTTTTGGTAACTTTGGCAATGAAAACATATATTTTAGTAAATGTGCAGTACAAGGTGCTGTTTAATTCACAGTATACTCAGAATATAGCACAATATAATCTGGACATAATGCACTGTACACTAGAACTCTGGTAAAGTGTTGAAAGAAAACACATTTTGTTACAGCTGGTTTCGTCGACACAGTGCTACAGTGACCTACAGTCTATCACATTAACCCTTAGGCCCCGGGTGACGTTCCAGAACATCCGCCTATTTTCCCGCCTTTTTTTTTTAAACTAATTTTGGAAATGTTGATTTTTTTTTCTCGATTTAACCCTGCATCGGCAGCACCCTAACCCGGGGCTTAAGGGTTAATGAAAATTTTGAGTCTATTGACATGAAATTCATAAATTTTTGCTGATAATCAATATCAACTAGGCATTTCAGTGCTCCAGATACAAGATAATACAATGCTCATGAACTCTACACATGAAATGGCAGCAAATATTAATAGTCACAAACACCAACACTGATATTAAATGTAGCTTGACGTGTGAAAGTACTGTGCAGGCAGTCCCCAAGTTATGAACGCCAGACTTATGAATGAGATCCCAAAATATTCATCTCAAGAATCCTATTTTGTACTCTACATAATACTGTTTGACATCACTTTATTTAAAGAAATTAAGTTACGTACTTGTTATGTATTGGATATTATTATTGTTCTGTATGGTTAGGGTTGTATTTTAACCTAACCTAACACTTCCGACTTATGAACAGGGTTCAGGAATCTAACCCGTTCGTAACTCGGGGACTGTAACTGCTGGTTTGAGTCACTGCTCATTCCTGGTGAGTTATAAAGGATATGTTTATTCGAGGTCCAGTACTTCATATATTATATCTTCTTTAAACCTCCAGACACAGTAATATCTCTGTTAACCAGAATCCCTCAAACCTGGAACTCTCCGAAAGCAGGAATAAAAATTTTCTCGGAAAAATTTTCCCAAAGCCGTAATTTTCTGGAAAATTCCGGCTCTGGGAATGATTTTCTGAGGGGCACATTTTCCGGAACATTCAGATAAAATTTTCCTGATACCCGGAAAATTCCGGGGACGGGTTTTTTTTTCTGGCTTTGAGAGAGTTGTCTCGTTACCCAGAAATCTCTCATTCCCGGAAGTGCTCTGTACCAATTGTTCTGGCTAATGGAGATATCACTGTATTATATCTTACTCATCAATTAAAATGACAATTTGTGAAACACCACAAATACTAGCAAATACAGTGGTCCCTCGATTAACAAACACAATTGGTTCCACAGAGTCGGTTGTTAACTGAATCTACTATTTCAGCGGGGTATTGGGTAATTGGTTCCAACTCACAGAAAAAGTATACATACAAAGTACTGTATACCAGTACAGGTAATGGAATTAACAAAACATTAAATACCAACTAAATACAGTACTATACAATAATAAATAAAAAAATTATTGAATACTGTATTTTAACTTACTTTGAGGTGTGTATATCTTATTCCCAGCAGCTTTGTTTACATATCAAACAGCTGATTGTAGAGGCAGTCGATGATGACATGCCATATTCTTTACAGAGTGCATTGGTTCTAATGCCTTCTTCGTGTTTCATAACAATTTCTGCACTGTATATTATCAATATGTTAACTAAATTTCAGAATGAACAGTAATTTTAATGTAAAAATGCAAAAATATTCAAGAGACCAACAAACTGGATGTTCACTCCACTGTAAACAAAGTTATACTGAGAAGCGTTGGTGGGCGATTCGATCAGCTGATTGGGACACAAAAACTGTTCCCTGTACTGTATATATCATCAAAATGTTAACTAAATTTCAGAATGACCAATATTCAAGATACCGACTTTCTTGATACTTATTCCACTGGAAACGAATGTAAACATAGAACCAATTACTGTATTGGTGGACTAGCCGATCAGCTGATGCGCACAACAAAACGTGTTTCTCGTAAGGCTTTCATTAATCAAAGTTTTGTTCGTTAATCGAACTGAAAATCCTTATGGGAGCTAATTCGTTAACCAAAATTTTGTTAATTGGAGCGTTCGTTAATCGAGGGACCACTGTACCATGAATGGTCCTCAGCCTAAGAGCAACACTCATACCTACCACTCTTTCATCAGCACCAGACTGATATAAGACATCTAATTTAACACCCAAACTAATGTGTTTTTCATGTTTTCTAGACCAAGTACAGTACAGTACTTCACTGTTACTTGCCGCACGTTTGGGAGACATTACAGTATGCCGGTCACACTAGAATAACCCATTATAGTACATCCTTCTTTCCTCACACAGCCAATCTGTGGAATGCTATGCCTTCTTCTGTGTTTCCATACTCATACAATCTGTCTCACTTTAAAAAGTTGGTTTTCTGGCATCTTCGTGGTGAAGATTAATATAACCTTTTCTTTTTCTATTTTTAATTTATTTTTATTCTTATAACCCCCCCCCAATGTGGGTCGATAACCTATGCCCGGGTGGGCTATTCCCCATAATAATAATAATAAAATAAATAAATAAATAAAAAAAGCACACTAAAATAGATAATAAGTAAAAACAAAAGCAAAAAAAAAAAAAATATATATATGGTGGGACCACTGGCTGGGAACAGGTGTCACTAAGTACTCAGTGTGTCCCACACCCAGCACCCATATAATGTTACTGTGAATCAAGGTGTGACACAAAATGAATCTGGGTAATACATTGTCTGTGATGTTATAGCAAAACAACACTAACTGGATTGACTTTTAAGCAGGGAATATCTGTATCAAGTAAAGACCATTAATATAATGAGAAACACTTTTCCTCATATAGACAAACCATAGTTAATATGCATAAAAAAACTATACGTATTTAAAAATAATTTTACCTTTTGGGGTGACGGCGGATGCTTGAGGGAGAAGGTATGATATACAATGAAGCAGTCTCCATACATTTGAACAATTGAAATATCATATAATAAACATATAAACTTATAAATACTTTCATCACTCTTACAAATAGCTGAGACGTTTATCATATCCACAGTGGAGACCTTATTGTGCAGTTTACAGATGGGACAGTTACAAGTTTAATTAAACAGGTGATATATTGTTAAAAATAAACACGTAACAGGCGAATAATACCTTACAATGGAGGGCACGAGTGTGTGAGATGGATAGTGAGAAAATTTTTTTAAATGTCTAGTACAGCACAGAAGACCTAGCTTGCCTGCTAAGATATATAGTAATTGATGTCTTCATGTCGTCGCTCTATGGACAGTTGTCATGCAGCTAATTATAGATGGATTACCACGAGAAAACGGCTACATGAATGACACCAAAATCTTGAGCATCAATTGGAATTACTCGATTTTTGGTGATTTTTTTCTCTTAACTGATGCAAAATACAAGTCAGTTCCAATTGGACGAGATTATGATTGGCTCGTATTCACATCATGGTGCACGAGTGTTAGGCTACTAATAAAACCCAATGTTCTTCTCTTAATCAGCTTCAGTATTCTTTCACCACACACCATTCAGACTAATTCTCATCTGTACAACCAGTTAGGTATATCTGGGTGCTATACCGAATGATATATAACAAACACTGTCTTTACAAACAGAAAAATAAATACTATGCATAAATAAACTTAAATTATTACTAACTATTTATCATCAACCACTCAATACCAATATTTGTGGAAGTGTGAGATACTGTACCTTGTTCCAGGGGATGTTAACATTGTACCCTTCCCCAGCTCCTGTTCCAACTCGGTCATAATTTGCATCTTCGGAGGAGGGAAAGAAGAGGCCTTGATCATATCGGTGGATGGAGATATAGAGGACGTGTGGGTCAGATTCAAAGGTGTGCTGGATACCATTACCATGGTGAACGTCCCAGTCCAAGATCATCACTCTAAAAAATATAAAACTATCTATTATACAAAAATACTGGCACAATACAGTATTACATGTGAACACTGTGTATCAGAGACTTCTTTGAATGTTTGACCAATCAAAATCTGTACCTCTGATGCCTTGGTACCACTAGAAAATCCCCCTAACATGTGTCCTTTCCCTTTGTTACTCTACCATTTTCTTTTCCAGGAAGGTAATTTCCATTTCACAAATCTGACCCACTCTACCTCACTCTTTACAATGTTATCCTCCATCGTTCTCTCTATATGATCAAACCCAGACACACTATTTGATGTCAATCATTCCCTTATACTGTTGTAACATTCTCATGAAACTTTCAGCCCTATGCTCTTCTATCCTTTAGGTACAATATTGCTGGGATTAATGATTCAATTCCAGACTGGTAGAGGAAGTGATAAAACACAGTTACATACAATCTTACATATATGTGATAAGAGACACATTATTCAGCCTATCAAACCTGGGCAATAAAACACTAACCGTTGGTATCCATATTGCTTGAGAGCATATCTAGCAGCAACTGCAACATTGTTATAGAAACAAAATCCGTGTGGATGATCCCTTTCAGCATGGTGGCCGGGGGGACGCACCACACCAATGCCACTTGAGATTTTGTTGTTACAAACACTATCCACAACCTGGCATTAGAGAGAGTTACAATTAGCCACTAGAGAAATAGAGAAAATGAGAAGAAAGAAATGTATGGTAGTTGTGTGTGACAAAAGATGAGCAAAATGAGCCATGGGAATAAAAATTTTGTGCATGGGGGCATCACCAGTGAGCTGTCCACCTTTTAATCTAAATTGTGTATAAATTATCGTTATTTAATTTAAAATCTTAACATTATTTCGTGCCCCAAAACATACTTCGACTAATTCACATCATCAAATAACGAAAAGAGAGAGAGCCAATCAAACAATACACATATCTTTGGTTATAGCAACCTAAGAACAGAGGCACAGATGGTGACCTATTAGTTTTAGTGGTCTAACCTGCAGGAGACTACCAGATGCCAGCAGAGCAGCATCATTACTCATGGAATGGAAGTAAATAGACTTGTATTTATCCTGCAGGGACTCGAGTTCTTTCTGGCTTAAAGACCCAATGTTAAACATAAAGTCTACGTGGTCTTTGGTGTGCACAAGTTCTACTTCTTCTCGAGTTGCTCGTCTTGACTGAAAAATAATAATGGTTATAAACTTAAGGGAGAGCTGCTAACCATTCAAAAATAAACTAATTCAATACATAAATTTAAGAATAATGAGGGCAACAAAATGATGATGATATAGTCAGTAAATCTGTATTGCTTCAGATTACAAGACACTGAACTTAAATAACAACTTTGTATACAGTATTACACACTTTCTAGGCAATCAATATGTAAAAAATTCTGCACTAAGTCTACTAGTGAAACTTACATGTACAGCAATATTTCATAATACTGTACAAATGAAAAACACAATATAATCCACAGTTAGTTAGCAGGTGAAGGCATGGCAAGTACCAGGCACCACATACCTTAAGAACAGTCGCTCTTTCTATTATACCATACTGTTTCAGGTACTCCCAAATTTGTTCTGTTCTTTCAGGTCTCTCTGGATGCTCCCTGTAAGAACAAAACTATGATGGCAATGTTATCTCTATATGTTCATCATGCAAGGTATTACATATACCGTACTGTACTCATCACATTAAGGTTTCACACATCATGTACTCTAAGACACAATGTGCAAACACACAGCTATAGACTACTTATGTAGAATGAGTTTTGGGGGATGAAAAAGTGTTGCTTGTGGCAAAATCATAATACAGTACCGGGTATTGGCTATGTGGATGGTGAAATGCACTGTTAGCCCTTAGTCAGAGGAAGTACCTTTTATGTCCGAGAACACCAAGCAGTGCACCAGAGGACATACCTGGCATATCCTTGTGAAATATTGCTGTGTCATTGGTGGAATGCTCTTTTATCCCACTAGTCATATTACCACTGATGTACTTTTTTCATGTGTGTTGGGGTAAGGATTGAGGTGGTGTGGTAGAGAACTATGGTGGTGGTTGTGATGGTGAGAAGGATGAGTATTGAGATAATGTGGAGGTAATTATGGTGGTGTGTGGGTGTGACTGTTGTAATAAAGAAATAATAATGTGAATAATACTGTAATGTTTTTGTATCTGACTGGATATTCATGCGGCAAGAACTGGAGAGAAATCACTTCAGAGAAATGGGAAACTTGGGCTGACTCACAGTACATTTTCTCAAATTTCATTCCACAACCAATTATTTAAAAAAAAGGAATCAGGCTCCTTCAGTAGTACCCCAAGCTAATACACAACATTCACTTAAGGGAATTGTCATCAAGGAAAGGGAAAAATAGAGAGAAACCCTGTGTGGTGGGCGTGTGCTCATGTTAAAACTCTAATAAGGAGAATGGCAAGATTTGGAATAACATCTTCACTAACATATCCTTAAAAAGATAAGTAAAAGAGTGAATTAAGGTGCTGTATTAAAAATCAGTGCAGAAACACAATGAAAGCATCTTTTATTAACACTGAAAGACACTGTCATCCACAATTAGTGCTAGAAATTACAACCTGACTGTTCCCCAGATAATATGCTATGAAAAAAAGCAGACATATGGTTGCTCTTTTGTGTAGCACAATGAAGAAAATTGCCTTTACTTACGCTCCTGACAAACTTCTGTGACGACTCATTTCTTCATCATAAACCAAGCAGAGTTTACCTCCTGGCAGAGCCCTGGTCCTTTCTGGGAATATTATAAAAATAATATCAGTTGAGTTTAAAACACTAAATGAGATACATTAAATTAGTATAACTGTACTTTTCTGTACAAGTGTTCTAAAAGCTGTACTTGTCCCAACACCCCCCCCCCCCCCAAAAAATGAATCTATACAGTGATCCCTCGGTTAACGAGCGCCTCGGTTAACGAAATTTCGGTTAACGAATTACCTTCCATAACATTCTTAACTTTGGTTAACTAGCATTCCCTTGATTAGTGAATTCCTTACGAGCGCCCCTCAACATGTTTTCGCTTGCACACGAGCTGTCGTATTAGTCCGCCAATACAACAATCGGTTCTAGGGCTTAAATTCCTTACTATTTTAGTAAATATCAAGAAGTTTGTACTATTCAATAATTTTAAGTATTATATTAAATTTTTTAGTAATTTTAAAAATTATTTAACATACTTTAAGTACAGGGAAACTAGTTTTTAGCTCGCCAAACAGCCTGTCAACACACCATACAGGCGTCAGTCTCTGTGTCTTTTCAGTGGAGGTAACATCTTGCTTCAGACTCTCTTCAACATAAATGCTTTTTTTCTGTTTCCAGTCAAATTATTGGTCTTTCTGAAGTTTATTTTACATATTGACAATATATAATGCAGTGCAGTCTTGATTTAAAGAAAATAATCTTGAATTACATCAAGTGAACTAAAATTTTATGGGTGAAATGGCGGCATGGGGCGACTTCTCTTCCACACCAATGCCTTCTCTTCTCCCTTCTCCTCCACCCACACTTCAAATTCCCATCATCATCATCCAGGAGCCTTCTCATACACACCTCAAAGTAAATGTACTTTACTACCTTTTTTGTTGACTTTAGGCAATTTTCGGTGAGCTGGAACCAATTACCCAAAAACCCATTGAAACAATGGTTTCGGTTAACGAGCAACCTTCTAGAACGAATTGTGCTCGTTAATCAAGGGACCACTGTATTGGAATTTTAGCCCTTTTAAGTTTATTTGTGCTAAGTTTTCTTTTTGTCATATAGTACTACTGCTTTATGCGTGCTTTTGGCAGTACATTATCATAGTACTCCATAACACATTGCCTACTTTATTTGACCACATTTACTTATTTTGTAATACAGTACATGTATTAGTGCAAGTGCTGTGTAACAGATTACACAGGGTCAGCATGCATTGTTTGCTCAGAAGCTCAGGTAAGTGCTAAATGTGTTGACCATTTTTTTTATGACATCTTACTGGTGGAATTACTGCTTGATACCTCTCCATTAGCAAATAACAGTAGGAGATTGAAGCCTATCCACTAGCAGCAGGTATTTGCTAAATAGAGGGTCTTTATTCTTATGCCTGTAATAAGAATAATTTGGTATGTTATTTCCCTTCCACAACACAGTGTCATAGCTCCAAATATCTTTCTTGTTTCCCTGTTGTTTCACGCAGACTTTCATTGCCCATCAGAAGCACATCTATTCCCAAACTCACTTGACTCCATGCTCCAATCATTCATACAAATCTTTACTTCTTGTACAGTACAATATATCCATTCTCCTCACTTATTGTAAATTTTTTACCCCATCCTTCTAACTCCTCCTTGGTCACCACCACCAGTAATAACAAAAACACTATTACAGTAATAGCTACGGGTTACGGATTTCCGACTTTGCGGATACTTTCCCCAAGTCCATTTTTGGGCTGCAGATGAGTACCAGTTACAGATGTCAATTAGTGAGGAAAAGACCAGCAGAGTAGGCATAAGGTGGCTGGGCGGGGCATCCCGTAAGGCACCATTTTGCACTAAATCAAGTTGTTAGTTCACTACAGAGCACATTCCCTATGCATCACCTCAATACATACATTCATTCACCACACATGCACACTCATGCTCTTAATTTTTCTTATTTTAGTTAAATATTAGATTTTCTTAATTTCTAAGCCACATTAGAGTTTTGTAATGATTATTCCACAACTTTTATAGTTTCATTACATGTAACAGTAGCAACATGCCATCTCCATGGATATTATTCCTTGTTATCCCTGGTTTAGCGACAATTTTGCTTAACCCTTAGGCCCCGGGTGACGTTCTAGAACGTCCACCTATTTTCCCACCATTTTGTTTTTAATTATTATTTTTGGAAAAGTTTATTTTTTTTTCTCTATTTATTCCCACGCGAGGTGTTACTGTCAGTAGCAACCGAACTTGGGGCTCAAGGGTTTTCAGGAACACAGCCCCATCGTTAAACATGGGATACCTGTACAGTATACACGCAACACAGTTCAGTTGGGCAGTAACCCAGAAGACTCAAAAGATGTATGTGGCTGCTGGGCATCACATAGGATGTGGGAGTGTTACAGCCTTACACATGCACACCCATGTTCTTTATTTATTCTTATTAATAGTTTTATATTATATTTTATTTACAAGCTACATTAAGAGTACTGTAATGATTTTATTTACAGTATTTCTAAGATGAGAACAGACAACTGATGAACATGCTGAGCTTGTGAGAGATGCTTGTGCAAGAGTGAGACCCAAGCATAAGGGAGGTTCAGGGGGCCAAATGTGTATAAGCAGGATTGCATACTGAGGATTTTCCTGTATACAGTATTGTACCACTATACAGTATATAAAACAAATGAATTTAAAGAAACAAGTAACCAGTGTTGTACGTTGACGCCGTTAATTTAACGTCGTCAATGGACGGCGGCAACTTTTTGTTAACGCTGACGCCATAAATTTTTTGGGCAGGTGACGCTACAGGTGACGCAGTCAACTTTTCACCCGAGAGGAGTGTCAAGCGTCAATTTGTTCGTCAACTTCTAAAATTTTTAAATTTTCCAAGTTCGATTTTCAATTATCTTGTTATAAAGATGACCGACAAGGCCATGAGGGAGTTGTTCATCAAATACAACACCCCCATCCCCTCTAGAGCTGCCGTGGAGCGCATGTTCTCCATGGGCAAGGACGTCTTGAGGCCCAAGCGCAGCAGAATGAGCGACAAGCATTTTGAGATGCTAGTATTCTTGCGGGGGAACAAATGAATAATTAAAATTATATAATATAAATCATAATAAATGATTAAATATGAATGAATATTTTTTGATATTGCATATGTTACTCCCATGCACAGGAAAATACGCGCTTCGGGGCTGCATTTGAACATTACTGAAAACTCGTTGACGCTGATGCTAACGGCGTCAATTTATGAAATCGTTTAAGCAGACGCTGACGGCATCCAATTTTGTCGACTGCTTGCACTGACGCTGGCGGCGCCACTTTTTTTCGTTGACGTGTACAACACTGCAAGTAACCATTCAAGGATTAATGTAAAAATAAAACAATGAAGATGAAAGGATTTAAACCCTCAGATTGCCTCTCATTGTGAATTCATTTAGTTGGTGTAATTCACATCATGTACTGTGAGTTTACGTTGAGGATACAAGCATGTAATTGAGAATATTTCAGCGTTGTGTATTTTTTCTACCATCTTCCATAAGTACAAAGCACCACTATCTTTATTATGTTCCCCAGTCTTTATGGCTTCTGTGTCTCTTGATCTGCCCCAAAAATAAGAAGGAAAAGAGTCAAGACAATAGATTGCAAAACCTTACCTTTTAATTTCAACTGAAGCAGCTTTGATTTTATTCTCTCTAGCAGCTCTGGTGACTGCACAATATGAACTTCCCTTGTTGGGAATCTGAGAGGTCTGGCATTCAGTCCCAGAAATGTAAGGGACGGAGTATGTCTTGCTTTGACAGCCTCGTTGGACTCTTCTCTCACTGAAAATGATCCTTGATACTGGAAGCATTTCCAATATGGCCGCTGGACATAAATGAGGTTCAGAAGTGTCTCACGCAAACTGAGTGATAAAGAGAGAACAAATTGTTATGTACAGTATATTAGAGCAACACCAATAAAGAACATAAGAAATAATGACATCAATGTTCTAGGAATAGCTTTTAAACTTAATGTTGGTTTTATTACCAATAGAATGATTTTAATTACAGTGAACCCTCACTTTACGCGGTCAATTGAACCCACGGCGGCCTGCGTAAAGTGAGAAACGCGTAAAGTGAACAACATAACATATGGGATTAATTGAAATAGAGACCGGGCCGACCCCCAAACTCCACTTTTTCAGACACAATACCTACGTTGTAGTAAAAATAACTTCTTAATTTTATGATGGTATGCACACACAATTAATAATTAAGAGAAATATCAATAATATTAGGTTTTTTAACACTTACATTAGTAGAAAAGATGGCTGGGCACACGGGGATGGGGGGTTGGTTCCGAGGCAGAGGGCAGATTAATTATTGGCCCTCACCTGTATCACTTGTATCACTATCCACCACAGAGGCTTGCAGGGCCTCTTTGTCAAACCTCTCAAAGTCCATATAAGTCCATATCCTCACTATCATTATCACTGACTTGGGCCGGCTGTGGTGGGTGGCGGGTGAAGAACTCGGTAATGTTTAGATGACTGGGCGACCTTGTGCGCACCCTGCTAGCGCCGCTCTCCGCGTAAAAGGGTACACACACACCGTGGAAAGTGAGCATTCCGGTTTCGGCAGGGTACCGCGTAAACGTGGAAACGCGTAAAGTGGGACCGCGTAAAGTGAGGGTTGACTGTATATGGAGACATTGTCAACTAGCACTGTACAAAAATACCTAGAAAATTTATGGATCACAGAGTGTGGTTATTAGTTGACTGGAAAAGTAAATTTAATCATTAAACATTCACTGGCCACTGTACTACACGTTATTCCAATGTTTTAGCATATAAAGTGAGTTAGGTAAATTTATGAACCATTGTTACAAAAAAGCCACATAAAGGTATCTTTACATAAACAAAGAGTTAGAAAAAATGCCATAAAACACTATCACTACATGGTACAACCTCCTTGTGTTTTCCCACCCCTCCACCCTTACCAGCGGCCTGAAGCATGGTTCAAAATTCTCACAACACTGTTATGAATATATAAAATCACTGTGATGCACAAGCCACAAGAAAATGCATGGGAAATGTGGGTCATGGTTATATTCCGGGACCTTTAAACACAAAAGGGAGACTGTTTCCCAAATGTGTGTACTGTGTGCCTAACAGTCATACACAAACAAAAAATTATTTTATTTGAATTTTTTACTTCATATGCAAATCTGAGTATGAAAACCCTAAAGCAGGGGTGGCCAACCTTTTACATACCATGCGTCAATTTGTTCACACACTAGATCAGATGCGCCATACAACTCTTGTACCCCCGTCTACTTCTTGTAAAAATATGTTTATAGACATAATTAGCATTTTTACATGATAAAATTATTAAATATAAAAACAATATCTGATAAAGCAGATAAACATTACTTACCTTTAATGAGACTTTTGAGTCGGTTTTGATTTCGTCAGTCTTTCAATGTTTGTAGTTAAATTTGTTACTGAGAGCAGCAGAGAATTCTTCAAATTTGAATCAGTCAGTCGCGACCTCGTTTTGCTTTTAATCAATTTCACGGATGAAAATGCTTGTTCACATCTATATGTCGTTCCGAAACGACATATATAACTATGGGCAAATTTTCTTAGTTCTGGGAAATTTTCACAGGGTAATGATCGCCAGAAATTAATCATGTCAGAAGCATTTGAGACTGAGGAAAGCTCATCAAATTTCATTTTCAAAAATGAATTTGTTTTCAAGTCAATAAGTTCCCTTTGTATGTCACTAGGCATCTTCATTATTTTTTGTTCACTAAGTGAAAATGGGTTTATAAATGAGAGTATGCAGTCTTCTTCTTTAGCAAAATCATGAAAACGACTTTCAAATGACTTGCAATAACTTTATTTTTTCAGTATATTTTGTCAAATTGCCATTATCAGCAGCACATTCACTCTGCTCTTTTAAGTGCGGAAACTGGCTCAAATCCTCATTTTCTAACTGAGAGATAAACAGTTTTAACTTCATCTTGAATGCATTGATGTCATTTACTAAGATAGGAAACAATTTGTTCTTGCCCTGCAGTTTCAAATTCAGATCATTGAGATGTCTGGTAACATCAACTAAAAATGCCAAATCAAATAGCCAGTTTTTATCACATAAAAGGGCTCTTTCTCCAGGTAGCTCATTTATCTCTTCTAGAAAATTATGAACAGTATTTTTCAGTTTCCAAAACCTACTCAGAACCTGTCCTCTAGAAAGCCAGCGCACCTCACAATGAAGGACAAGGTCGCCATATTTCAAATCTAACATTTCACAATATTCTCTGAATTCTCGTCTGTTTAATGCTCTTGCTCTAATTTTATTCACACATTTCACAACCAGTAACATAACATGCTGCAAATTTAAAGTTTTTCCACACAGTGACTCTTGGTGTATAATGCAGTGATATTTTAGTAGAAGATGATTTAAAAAGTTTTCAAGCAAAGTTGTAGTCCCGGCGACTTTACCTATCATTGACGGCGCTCCGTCAGTACACACAGTGATGAGTTTACTAGAATCTAATTGTAGATTATCTAGGCATGATTTTACTTTGTCAAATATGTCTGATCCTCATGTTTTTCCATGAAGCGACTCAAGACTGACAAGTTCTTCAAAGACACTAAAATGATCAGTAATTCCTCTTATAAAAATGCTTAACTGGGCTACATCACATATGTCAGTTGATTCGTCCAAAGCTAAAGAAAAGAAATGCAGTATACTCTTTATCGACGGATTTTTTATCGATTTCGATTATCGACGGATTATTTGGCCGGATTTTTATTTTGGCACCAAACAGCTTCTCCCAGTCTCTCCTTGAACAGGGCTAGAGGGTACGTGTTTTTCGAATCGTTTTCAGTTAAAAAATTATTACATCACACGTATATTTTACCTAAATATTCTTGAGATGTTTTATTTTTGGTTCTGTTATATTACAATGATATTCTATTCATACTGTGCTTGATATAATACATTCACGGAAATGTAATATTTTTGCTAAAATGACGACGATATAGTGGAAAGTGATCAAATCGGGATTTAAAACAATGACTTGCGCTTTTCTTTCGTTCAAAAGATGTTACCGTAATCACTTTTCGAATGGTTTAGTTAAAAACTGTTGTATTGTATTACAATAATATCCTAATTGACTTGAATAAATATTACGATACCATATTTCTGAATATTTTCATTAAAATCCATCAAAATCATTTTCCTTGTCATCGCCTGCAGCACCAAACAGCTCCTCCCAGTCCTCTCCTTGAACAGGGCTAGAGGGTACGTGTTTTTCAATCGTTTTCAGTTAAAAAATTATTACATCACACGATATTTTACCTAAACTGTGCCTGAATGAATATATTCTCGAAATAAATAGTAGTTTTGCTGAAACGTGATGTATTTCAATGTAAATAGGATAAAATACATGACGAAACAAAAGACTTTACCTAAGCTTCCGATGTTCTTGAGATGTTACTTGCTTTTTTAATAGTTTTCGTTAAAATTCTGTTATATTACAATGATATTCTATTCATACTGTGCTTGATATAATACATTCACGGAAATGTAATATTTGTTGAAATGACGACGATTAAAGTGGAAAGTGGGATCAAATCGCGGATTAAAACAATGACTCACTTTCTTTCGCTCAAAAGATGTTACCGTAATCACTTTTCAATGGTTTAGTTAAAAACTGTTGTATTACAATAATATTCCTCCTAATTGACTTGAATAAATACTTGAATGGAAATATACAATATTTTGTTGAAACTACCCGCGCTTTCAGTGTAAAGTGTTGTAATAATAAATGGTAAACAATTTGCCTTGGGCACCGGATTTTTGACTTACTGTACTGTACACTGTTTTGTTTACTGTAAGGACCGATGTTCACTTCAATAAATGAAATCGTAAGTTTGCTAGTATTTTGTCCACTTATTATATTATTATTTATACACTATTATTTAAGGTTATACGTAAGGAAACGTGACACGCGTAAAGGAAACGCGATTAATGCTAAAGGTACATTTATTCAACATATGCTAATAATAGTTAGAAAATTACGTGAACCATCACGTAGAGTCGACGGGTTTTATCGACGTCACACAGAACGAACCCCGCCGATAAAGAGGGAGTACTGTACAAGAATGGACAAGGTCTTTCAGTTGCTGAGATACATCATGAGAGAGCGCCAGTTGTAAACTGGCAAGAACCTGTGACTCACTGCTGGAGACGCCTGACCCTCACGGTCAAAACAAGTATTAAACGCAGATGAACATGTACGACACAAGAACAAAAGTCCATCTTCCTAGTTTGATTCATTACATATTTTAACTGAAAACAGATTAATGTGAAAGAAGATAACATTCGCTAAAAGGATGTGCACGAAATAATAAAATCAATTAAAATAACGAGTAGGCTTACTGCCTTACTTTTATTATTATCACAGGATGCAATGCGTCACTTCTAATCATCCAATGCGCCCACGCTTGCACGCACCAGAGGTTGGCTATCCCCGCCCTAAAGTGATAATTTAGATGATATGCAATTCTATGAAAACCCCATGTTAAGTTTCTTAAAATTTAATCTGCTTAACGCGTATATACGCTTGATCATTTACGCCGACCTTACCAGACCAACAATTTTATTTAATTCCATCATTCACAGAGGTCCAGACGCCCAATTATTAGTTACGCTGTACATTCTGACCATACGCTGAAGCGGGCGCCGAGGGTGCGCAGGCAGGAATTTTGCTCAAAGCTGCACTCTTCAGGCATTGTTCCTTATACATATCTAAGACTCCATGCCAAATTTGAAGCTGATATGTCGAGGTTTAGTCTGCCGCATTTTCTACTGAAATTTTTAAATTTACCTACAGTACTAGCCAAACAGCCGC